GGGGTGACCTTAACAAACAGGAGTTTATTCTTACAATTTGGAGGCTTTAAGTCCAAGTTCAAAGTGCCAGGCTCTAGGGGCTGGGTGAAAGCCCCTCAGCCTTGGGGTCCAGCTCTGCCTCCTGCTTCCAGCCCACTGAAGCTATAGGCATCTCTTCACTCAGGCAGCTACTAGCTGCTGAGGCTAACAAGCCCAAGGTCGACAGATAAAAAGGCACAGTCCCGATGTTACCAAACCACACAGCAGGCCATTAATTTAAGTCCATTGTAAGTCCCAAGGTCAGCAGAGCATGGTAGGCTGCTGAGCAATGACACGGCTACATGCAGGGTCTAAGCGTGCTATAAGCTGGAGACTATCCCCAGGGCTTCTCCTTATATACAGGAAGCAGACCACATCCCAAAGGCAGCTACCCAGCTGCTTGTGGTAGATCCTACCATGGACTTGATTGCCAGTCTCACATGGAGAAAAACTACTACCAGCTGCACACATGGAGAAAAACTATCACCAGCTGCACAGCCACTCAACCAGGCCCAGCCAAGTTGACATACAAACATAACCACCACAAAGGGGTAACTTGGCATAGTAGAAGTGTAGCTATTCATATATCATCCTGAAGCATTGAGAGTATCTCTACTTTTGAAAGAGCCAGAAGAATGACCACAGGTTTCTCCAAGCTCATCACAAGTTTTTTCCTTTTTTTTTTTTTTTTGTATAATATATAAGGCAAGGAAATTCAGACAGGCACTGCAATGAAAGCAGATTGGAATGAAACACAAAGGGGAACATTTATGTTAATTGGCAGAGTACTTAGTGGCAAAGTGAGATTTATTTTGTCATTTCTTTGTAAATTAGGTAAAAATACTAGAATATTATTGGTAAATCATCTTGCTTCAGCTTTTACCCACTATTTTAAAATACAATCTCATTTTCTTTCTAATACAGGAATTTCAGAAACAACTCACTAACGCTAAAAGAATAATGATAATAGGGAATGGTGGTATTGCACTTGAGTTAGTGTAAGTATGTATTTTTAAATATTATTTACAAATACTGTGATTCTTGTGATTATTTGCAGACTAGAAAACATATTGATAGCCTGAAAATGAGAGAAATATAATTGTTTTTCATATAGTTTCAAAGAGAATCCATAGTTGCAGAAATTTTCCTTTTAGTGAATTTGTTAGGCGTGTGGTGACTGGCCAGATTTGCCCACTCCTGTTTTATAAGCATGTACTGTTTTAAAATAAAGATGGGCATGTGTATAGAGATTTGCAGTCGTAGCCCCCACCACTTCTTACTACTTACAACCATCCTGCTTCACTCATACATGGCCCATGAAAATATTAGTATTTGTGACTCTTATTTTAGGATATGTAATATTCCCAGCTTTTAGTTTTGGGAAGTTAGGGAAAAATGAGCACATTAGTTAATATGAAATATTTTCATCTGAATATGGTGTTTCAAATTTAAAAAAAAACCTGATCTGCAAAGTATTGATTCACTTATCTTTGTTATCTTGCATTATTCATTGGAATTAATTGTTGTGGAATAGTCTGGGTATTTTTCAATCCAAAAACTGGGTCAAGCCACAGAGAACAAATTCATATAAAAATAAGGAGTACGTTCAAGTTCCATCTTTGCTAACTTTCTTCCATCCCAACTCTCAGACTGTCTTTGCCGCTCTCTTTTAGGAGATGGTCATTCCCAGTAGAAGCCTGTAAGAGTTCTTAAATTGCCTGAGTACTAGGTGTAGCAATTCATCACTACTGCGATTATGAAGTCTGTGATACTGTACTGAGAAATATAGAGAGAAAATTGGAGAGTCAGAACTGAACTGTGGGCCAAGAGCAGGGTGGTGCAGATTTAGCTTCAAAGCCTTGTACATTCGTGACAGATTTTCTCCATCAACTCTTAACATGTAACTTACTATTATCACTTGTTTATACTGAAAAGCCTTCTTATGTTAAAAATATTCAAACTCACATATTTAATCTTACTTATTTTCTTTAGTTGGTGACAGTTTAATAAAAACATGATTATTTTCTATTCAGTCATCTCTTCATTGATAATTTAAGAAAGGTCCCATTGAGTGCTATTCTCTTGTATTCTCACAATGAAAAATGACATCCAGACTCTCTAGTCTTCAATAGTTTCTGAGGGTATAGTTTTCTTTAATATACTTTTATTTCTGCTCTCTCTCTTCTTTCCAGGTGTAGGGTTAGCCTTTCTTTTTCAAACAAAGATTTTCATAATTTCACAAAACTGTAACATATCACTGTTGTCTGTGCATGTTGTAGAGAACACAATATAAATTAGGGTGAGATGATTAGAGGACATTTTGTGAGGCAGAACAAGTACAAGAGTTACTTGTAGTGTTTACTTATAACTGGTTTATCAGTCAGTCATCAATATTTTAAACTATCCTGATGTTTAATATTACTTTAAAATGTGAGAAATGGTAGTATAGAGGAATTCTTCAGTTATGAAAATTAAGGGAAGCATTTTGTGATCATGCTGCATATCGAATATAAAATTTATTACCAAATGTGCACATACAGGTAGTCTCTGATTTAGGATGGACAAGGTTCTGTTCCAGTGATGTAAGTTGGTTCTGATGTAAGTCAAATATATGTATGTAGGAGCTTTAGTGGCGTAGTGCCTAAGGCATTTGACTGCTAACCAAAAGTTTGGCAGTTCAACCCACCAGCCACTCCTCGGAAGGAAGATTGGGCAATCTACTTCCATAGAGATACCACCTTGGAAACGCAAAGAGGGGTCACTATGAGTTGAATCGACTTGACGGCAGTGAGTTTGGTTTTTGGGGGGTGTGTGTGTGTGTGTGTGTGTGTGTGTGTGTGTTAGATGCTGCTGCGTTGTCCCCAACTCATAGTGACCTTGTGCACAACAGAACAAAACATGGCCCACTCCTGTGCCATCCTCAGGATCCCTGCTATACTTGAGCCATTGTTGTAGCCACTGTGTCACTCCATCTCTTAGAGGGCCTTCCACTTTTTCGCTGACCCTCCACTTTACCAAGCATGATAACCCTTCTCCAGAGAATGGTCCCTTCTGACAACACAACCAAAGTAAGTGAAATGAAGTCTGGCCATTCTCACTTCAAGGAGCATTCCAGCCGCACTTCTTCCAGGACAGATTTGTTAGTTCTTTCAGCAGTCCATGGTACTCTCAGTATTCTTCACCAACACCACAACTCAAAAGCATCAAGTCGTCTTCAGTCTTCCTTATTCATTGTCCAGCTCTCACATGCACAAGGCCATTGAAAATACTGTGGCTTAGCTAGCCACACCTTAGTTTTCAAGCAGGTATCTTTGCTCTTCAGCACTTGAAAGAGGTCTTTTGCAGCAGATTTGCCCAGTGCAATACATCTTCTGATGTCTTGACTGCTGCTTTTTTTGGTGTTGAATGTAGAACCAAGTAATATGAAGTCTTTGACAACTTCAGTCTTTCTCCATTTATCTTTATGCTGCTTATTGGTCCAGTTGAGAGGATTTTTGTTTTCTTTATATTGAGATGTAATCCAGACTGTAGACTGTAATCTTCAGTCTTCATCAGTAAGTCCTTCAAGTCATCCTCACTCTCAGCAAGTTGTGTTGTCTGCGTATTGCAGGCTGTTAATGAGTCTTCCTCTAATCCTGATGCCATGTTCTTCTTCATATAGTCCAGCTTCTCGGATTATTTGCTCAGCATACATTGATTAAGTATGGTGAAAGGATACAACCCTGACACACTCCTTTCTTGATTTTAAACCATGCAGTATCCCCTTGTTCTGTCCGAGTGACAACCTCCTGGCCTTTGTAATTGTACTCATGAGGTTGCTCGTGAGTACAAATAAGTGTTTTGGAATTCCCATATATATTTTAGTTTTCATTATTATTGCTTTTTATTATAAGTATCTTTATAAATCTGATCTATGAACATCTGAGAATGTTAACATCAGCAAGTAGCACTCTGTAACACTGTATATAAGATGTAAAGAAAAAGATGGTCGTAAGTGTGGTTTGCAATAATCTGACTATGTCCTCAGTCAGGGACTATTTGTGTTTTACTTTCTGCTGATCTGCAGTGATACATGATCTGAGCGGCAAAACACCGCACGTTCTCCAAATACTCTGAGATCTAGTGGCTGTAAATGTTCTTTCTTGCCATAGAAGAGCAGTAAACTAAGAGCTGACTGGATGAAGCATCTGCTGAAAAGCACAAATATCAGATTATCAGCAGTCAGTCAGATCTACTAAACTTTCTTTTTTCTATCTGCTTATTGATGAGCCTTGAGAAGTGATTTAACCTGTGTTATATTGGTCTGTGAAATAAAGATGGCAATATTTTGTGCCATAAATAAACATTAAAATGAAGACATTAATGTACTGTTTTAAGTTAAAAATAAAAACCTGTTGTAGTTAGGATGACCAAATGTCCTATTTGTCCAGGATAGTCCCAATTTACACCAAAACAGTTATCAGTAGCAGCTAATATCCCAAGTTGTATGAAAAATTATGTGACCACACTAATTTAATGCACTTCAGGGGGATTCTGTGAGATAATTATTGTTAAGAAAGCCATGTTCGAACCTAGAAATAAAACAGCAGGTGCCCAGGAGGTCTGGCTCATGAACAATAATGAAAGATGGCTTATATAGATACTGTGACTGTTTCTTGCTTTCTCCAAGATCCTTGATCTGTCTGTGAACTAGCATTTTCTTTGGCTAGTTGGTTTGAAATGAAAGGAATTGTGGGGTAATGATTCCTTTATAACAAACTTAAGATTTTAACTTACAACACTCATTCTCTCCTTTTCCATCCTCTCCAGATCGAGGTGTTTTGAGTATATAAAACATTTGTTGCCAAATTAGTCACCAAAACCAAAACCAAACTCACTGCTGTCAAGTCGGTTCTGACTCATTGTGACCCCTCCTTGGGTTTCCAAGGCAATATCTCTACGGAAGTAGACTGCCCAGTCTTCCTTCCAAGGAGTGGCTAGTGGGTTTGAACTGCCAGCCTTCTGGTTAGCAGTCAAATGCGTTAGGCACTACACCACCAGAGATCCAAATTAGTCAACTATTGATTATATTGTAACCAGATAAACAAAATACTGCTTACTGCTGGGGACGTAGAGAGACATTGATGTAACTGTGTTGTAGAAATTGAACACTTTGAAACATTCATTGTAATGAAATTTTATTTTCTTCACTTTTGCCTCAGGAGATTGTTATTTGTAGATGCAAATATTTCTACTCAGACTGTTAAAACTACTGCAAGTAATTTTAATATACCTTTTAGGTATGAAATTGAAGGCTGTGAAGTGATTTGGGCCATCAAAGATAAAGCTATTGGGAATACTTTCTTCGATGCAGGCGCAGCTGAATTCTTGACTTCAAAGCTCATTACTGAAAAAACAGAAGCTAAAGTTGCACATAAAAGAACCAGATATACAACTGAAGGTAAAGATGATTTCTAATTTTATTAATTCACAGATGTAGTTTTTTTAAAAAACTATAGAAAAAGACCATAAGAAAACTTAGCAAAGTATTATTATAGGAGATAGAAATGTGGATAGTTATTTATTTCTATATCCTCACATCAATTTTTTATATTTTCTAGAGCATATATATAGTTTTTATTCAAAATACATATAAGTAAAACTGGAAACTTAATGTGACTTAAAATAAACCAGGCCATCTACGTATTTGCAAGTAGATACTACAGGTAGGCGACACTTAAGGTACTTTTATGAAAAACATGAGTTTAAAAACTAAAACAAGCATCAGCGTCTCATAGGCACCACAGTTTCAACAAGATTTTTGTACAGTTTGGGGAGGTTGCTCAAAGTTGACAAAATTTTTAAAATGTAACAGGCTACTTTATTTCCCTTAACATTAACCACTGCATGTAGATGTTGAGTGTATATTTTCATACCCAAAGTATTACTCATTGTATAGCTCACCATCATAAAATATTACAATGAGTAAAATGACTAATGTAGATAACTTTAGTGATCCCATATGAGAATCATTACTTTACCCTAAAAGCATCAGAACACAGGTATAATTCTCTGCATGGCAATTTTTGTTATCATTGAATTTTTAATTTTATCTCAGGAAGGAAAAAGGAATCAAAAACCAAAGCTCAGGCTAATAATGTAGGCAGTGCCTTGGGACCTGATTGGCATGAAGGCTTGAATCTTAAAGGAACAAAAGAGGTATGTTGTTAAACTGTGATAAAGGCTGGTTAAAAATACAGTCAGTGAATTGTTAGGTCACTTTATTTAAAATCTATAACACTAAGAAAGAATTTCAAAGCCATTTGGCCCAGTTATCCACCAAAAGGAGTAGAATATCAAATTCATCTAAAACTGACTCACAGACTTCTTTTTAACTCCCCGTGTGTAGAGATCTCCATACCCAGATTCCAGGTAAGACTACCTGTGTTATTTTCTCAATGGTCACTTCAGATGCATATGGTAAAAATGCAATATTTAACAGTTGGTAAACCCTGGGTGGTATAAACAGTTAACACTCTCAGCTGCTAACCAAAAGGTTGAAAGTTCAAGCTCACCACAGGCACCTCATAAGAAAAGCCTAGTGATCTACTTTTAAAATCTCAGCCATTGAAACCCTGTGGAGCATAGTTCTATTCTGACATACATCAGGGCATCATGATTTGGAATCAGCTCAACAGTAACTGAAAAAAGATGGTCTAAATCAAAGACATCCTTGATATTCTAAGAGACTATACTGAAGATGTTCTTAATATTCTAAGATAACTTGCTTTTATTCATGTTGTTTACTAGATAATTTTTAATAGCTGTTAAAAGGCTAGGATTTAAATATTTTAAGGGTGCATGCCAGCAGCCTGTCATTACTGTGTGTGGTGTCTTCAAAGGTTTTCCGTCTTTCAGGTAGGTGGCAAGGGGCTGGCTTCATCAGTTATCAATTTTTTGCCATGCAAATTATACAAAATTATTTCCTTCTGCCCCTTCAGACCCTAAGATTGATAGTATTTTTAATCTGAAAGCTTCAACAGTTTATTGGTACTTCACTAAGGTCAATATTGGCTCTGACCTCAACAGGTTTTCATAATCTGTAACAGTTGTAATGTAAGTATACACACACACACTGACATAATTATCAGTGTGGCTTAGAATAAAAACTATGGTCTTGGTTCCACCTACAATGACTCTACTAAATTTCTTAATTATTAAATGAATATTAATTTACTCTCTTTATGCAAAGAAACTGAGAGGCTGTCTTTTGTACACCCACTCCTCACTTATCGATACCGTTAAGTTCCAAAGACCAGATTGTTACATGAAAATCAGCATTATGTGAAAATGGAAGATGACCACATCAGATCATAAAATGGAGGATCAATGCATCATTTCATAAGTGCCAAACCACTGAGAATCATAGCTTACCGGGTTGACACATAACCTTAACCATCACAGCCAGTGTTACTCTAGCCTCACACCTTGGCGTTAGTTACTGCCAGATATATGTTGTTAATGCACAAAATAGTTGGATAGTAGATTTTTTTACTGTTGTTGTAAATGTGAAATGTAGAGAGTTGATAAGTGAAAGGTAAGTGTATTACAGTGAAACCTGTGAGAGTGGAACTTGACAAGGCTGCCTTGCTTTTCCAGGTTTCACAATGTTTCTGCCTTTGACAGTGTGCACTCTTACCTTTTTTCTATCACTGTATAGAGTGAAATATATTTGAATTTTCCTTCTCTGATAAGTTTCTGCCTTACACAGGTTCTAGTTTTCACAGATTTTACTGTATAAAATTACTTTCTGTATACATAATTTTCTGCAACCAAAAAAACCAAACCAAACTCACTGCTGTTGAGTTGAACTTGATTCATAGCAACCCCTCCTTGGGTTTCCAAGGCGGTATCACTACGGAAATAGATTGCCCAACCTTTCTTCCGAGGAGCAGCTGGTGGGTTTGAACCGCTAGACTTCTAGTTAGCAGTCAAATGCCTTAGGCACTATGCTACCAGAGCTAAATTTCTTACTCATCATCTGTACAACCCAAGTCACTCACTCTGAGAGACTGGTAACCAGGATTTCTTTAATTTAGTTTTCTCGTAAGATTCACATTGAAACCAAGTGTGAAGTAAAGAAAATCTACCTTCAGGAAGAATTTACAATTTTGAAAAAAGAGTCCTTGACTTTTCCAAGAGACCATCATAGTAAGTTGGTTAAAACAGCTGATAAAGGTAAGTAATAGAATAAGAAAAATATACAACCACTTGTTTAAAAGGAAGATTTAATCTTGCTATATTATTATATTTACAAATTTTAAGTTTCATATAAAATTTAAATAAGAGAAAAAAACATAAGTTAATAACATTTCATTTCACTACATATTATTTAAGTTTTCTGATAAATTAATTTGCATAGTGCTTTACATGTTGTATAGGGCTTAGGGTATTTTGACCATCATAATGGAGTCAGCCAGTATCTTACAGATTGTAAAAAAGCGAAACAAAAAAAGTTTAAAACCTGAAGCAATTAGAGGTGAAATGACTTCCCCAAAATCAAACAGATTAAAAATCTATAAATTTAGGATTAAGACAAAGATCTCCTAACTCCTGTTCTACACCCCTATGAGAACTAGTCATTTGAAGAAATACACCCATCCAAATGTGTATTTGACACATTCCATTGTTTTGAAGCCTTTGATTTTTTTCCACAGGAAAGGGAGTGTTAAAATTTGATAATGAATAGTGAGAAAAAAACAAACTGAAAAATGAATAGCCTAAGTTGGACTAAACTCTCAGTGAAGTATAACCATAAAGATTTTTAAAGAAATAATTCAGAAAGTGATTAATGATTTAAAGTACTTTGTTAGTGTTTATGTCTAAATTTGAAGGAATAACATGTAGAATGCCATAGTTTTATAATTGTAACAAAAAGGAAATAATGTTTTCTACATTAAAAAATTGTTTTCTGTGTTTCTGGAAAATTTCTAACACTTAATAAGTAAGAAGAATGAATGAGTATAAAATGTTTTAGCAAATGTACTTTGTAAAAATTATTAAGTAGAATTGTTTTAAAGGCATTTCTTGTTTGCCTTGTTTGTTTCTGATCATTAATAGTTTCTATTAATGCTTGGAACATGGTGGTGATTACATTTACAAATTTTTTTTTTTTTTTTTTAAAGAGAGGTGGCCAGTGTATGTGGAATTGACCAATGAAAAGATATATGGCTGTGATTTCATTGTTAGTGCTACAGGAGTAACACCAAATATAGAACCTTTTGTCCATGACAACAATGTAAGGAAAACTTTTTATTCAGATATAGATACTTTTAAGTTTTAATTCTTTATGAAGATCTTTACTTCTTAAACATGAATAATTACTGTGTTAGTACAAAACTGTAAGATGGTTGAAAATAATATGGTTATATTCATGTCTTGATTTACATTTAAGATTCTTAGACAGTTAATATCCCAACATAAGCACCATCATTAATGAGATATAATGCACTATTCATTTATCTAAAGGTTGATAAGAGACAATGACACCTCCTATAAATCCTTTAATCTTTCAGAGAACTCATCTTCTATTATTTGCTTTCCAGCATTTGAATTTTATAAAAAACACAAAGGAATAATCTTGTAATTATGGGTGAAGTAATCAAAGAGTTATTAGGTATTTTTGATGTTGCAATTCTAAGAATTACATGAGTCTATCTTCCTAGGAGTTTGATTTGCTGGAAATTCAGCTTACATATCTAAAGTCTGTAGCTAATTTGTCTTTCTCATTAAATGTCAAGACACTCAAGTGTGAACATTTGATTTGTTCTTTTACTTTAGAATGAAAAGGACATATTTCATTTTTCTTACTGCTTATTTATGAGGAACACTGTTTAGTTTAATCTAGGAGAAGACGGTGGCCTGAAAGTGGATGATCATATGCACACATCACTTCCTGATGTCTATGCTGCAGGTGACATCTGCACTGCATCATGGCAACTGAGCCCAGTCTGGCAGCAGGTAAGCCAGCCTATGTGAGCACATGTTTTTGTCAGAGATCCTAGCTGAAAATAAAGCAAGTGCTACCAGCACAATCCAACTTTCTGGTTTTCTGTGCCACTTTAAGTGGAAAGCTATCGCAGAATTGGTTTTTGACATGAAAAATAATTTTTAAGAATTTTTCACTTGTTGGTAAGTTATTATATAATAGTACATAGACTAGGCCATCTTTTAATTTAAAAAGAATTATGAGCTGTTACTTTTTCATTCTCAGTTGCTAGCACTGTCCAGTATAACTTTCTGTGATGACAGAAATACTCTATAAATCTTTGTTGGTCACTATGGTAGCCATTAGCCAGGCAGAGTGTGTCTATTGACACAACACTTGAAATGTGGCTAATGTGAGTGGGGAAATGAATTTTTAATTTTACTTTTAATTAATTTAAACTTAAATAGCTACATGTGGCTAGTGGCTACCATACTGGATAAAATAGATTAAATAACAAAATTGACCATCAGGATTATAAACAATATAAATAAAGCATTCTGTTCCTTGTCAACCTATTTTCTTCCTGTGAAAATTATTACTTAAAGATGTTCCTATAGTGAAAGCCTTCCTCAGCCTCCTCTAAAATGGATTTAGCCTTCCTCCTGCTCTCACAGTGTTACCTACCTCCTTCTAATACCAAAAAAACAAATTCACTGCCGTCCAGTCAGATCCGACTCATAGCAACCCCTCCTTGGGTTTCCAAGGCAGTATCACTACAAAAGTAGATTGCCTAATCATCTTAACCTCCTTCTAATGGTGGAGCAGAAATACCTGAAGAAGATTATCCAGATAATATTCTTTAAATGAGCAGGGTAGATACACAAGTAGAGGTTACAGATAAAAGAACCAGGTAACACTTCACTTTGTTAAGACAACCTCCTCAGATTAATGATGACTTTGGTGTGAAGTACTGGAAGAGCTGAATGTATTTGAGTTATAGGCAGCTATACTGTTCTGTATATTTTACATATAGCAGAGACAACATTAATAACGAGTGCCTTAAACCTATTTAACTTTTTCTAAAATGCTTCAAAGTAGCTTGCTTCTAATCTTTTCACAATCTTCAGTATGTCCTTTCTATGGCATAATTACCATAAATTCTCAACTTGGAGTTAGTACCCATGGAATTCTTTAATTTAACATTTTAATTCCCTCTCCCATGATAAATTATAATGTATGTTATTATCTGATATAGGAAAATACCCAAAAATAAGCATAGGTCTTCTCTATTAATTGTCAGAAGCAATAAGGAGACTAATTAATATGTTTTACACATAGTTCAAGATGGAAACTCAAGGAATTTTAAGGTTAGAATACATTAGGTAATAGTATAAAAACCCACTGCCACCAAGGGACTTGAACAGACAAGACACTTCACTAAAGAAGATACACTGGCAGCCGACAAATACATGAGGAAATGTTCATGATCAGTAGCCATTCCAAAAAGAAATGCAAATCAAAACAACAATGATATGTCATCTCACCACAGCAATAATAACAAAGTTCAACAAGACAGAAAATAACAAATGCTGGAGAGGATGTAGGAACTCTGGTGGCATAATGCCTAAGGCATCTGACTGCTAATGAGAATGCTGGCCATTCAAACCCACTCCTCGGAAGGAAAACTGGGCAATCTACTTTAGTAGAGATACCACCTCAGAAATTCATGGGGTCACTATGAATCAGAAGTGACTTGATGGCAGTAAGTTTGTTTGTTTCTTTCTTTTTTTGGCAAGGATGTGTGTGGACAGACTGGCACTTTCATACACTGCTGGTGGGACTGCAAAATGGTGCAACCATTATGGAAAATAGTATGGCATTTCTTTAAAAAACTGAAAACAGAAATACCATTTGATCCAGCAATTCCATTACTAGGAATATATCCTAAAGAGGTGAGAGACAGGACACAGACATATGCACACCCATGTTCATCGCAGCACAATTCACTATAGCAAAGAGATGGAAACAACCTAAATGTCCATCAACAGATGAATGTACAAACTATGGTACATTCACACAATGGAATACTGTGCAACATTAAAGAATAATAAATAGTACATGAATCATCTCACAACATGGATGAATTTGGAGGACATTATACTGAGTGTAAGTCAATTGCAGAAGGACAAATATTGTCTGAGCCTATTATCATAAAAAGTCAGGGAAAGGTTTACTTAGGAAAGGAAAGTCACTTTGTTGGTTACCAGGGATGAGAGGGGAAAGGAGGGAAAATTTTGGACTAGTTGGGGGTCACATGTTGCTTTACATGAGGGGAGGGATGGTATGGAAAGAGTCTGTGACCAGCATGATGACATTGGGGAAAAGGAGGACACTGAAAGGTGCACTTAAGATACAAACAGGAGAGGCAAATACTAGTATATACACAATACTGCAATACCAGTAACACAAAACACCAGGCTACAGACAGGTGAGAAGATCCGGTATGGTTAGGCGAACAGGAATATACCCTAGACCAAGGCTAGATTTGGCTGAAAATAATCTTACATATGCACTTGTGCTACAAAATTAGCCACATACATTACACATCAGAGTAACTTCTCAGAGACAAACACACACCTTTAGAGAGAGAATCACCAGGACTGCCAACTTGGGACCATAGTCTTGGGGGACATCATGTTCAATTGGCACAACATAGTACATAAAAATCTTGTTCTATGAACTACGTTGTAAGTAGTGACTGGGGTCTTAAAAGCTTTCAAGCGGCCATTTAAGATGCAACTATTGGTCTCTTGGGAGTTCTGGTGGCATAGTCCCTAAGGTATTTGACTGCTAACCAGAAGGCTGGCAGTTCACACCCACCAGCCACTCCTCGGAAGGAAAGTAGGGCAATCTACTTCCATAGGGATACTGCTGCAGAAACCCAAGGAGGGGTCGCTATGAGTCAGATCCAACTCAATAGCAGTGAGTTTGGTGTTTTGTTATTGGTCTCCTCATCTGAATCAAAGAAGAGTGAAGAAAATGAGATGAGAGGCATCTGGAAACAATTAGTGCAAGGATAAGATGGACCACGAGGACCTCAGCCTTCATGACCCCAAGACCAGAAGAACTAGATGATGCCCGGCTACCAAGAACAACTGCTTGGAAAGGGATCAAAACTAGAGACCCTGGATAGAAAAGAAAAATGTGAAACAAAATTCAAAAACACAAAAATGGCCAGAGTACTGGTCAGACAGAGTCTGGTAGAACCCCTGAAACTATGGCCCTGGGCTACCCTTCAGGCCTTAAGATGGGCTCACCCCCATGGATTGGCTCTCAGCCCAACAGTAGAAAGACCTGCATGCAGAACATCTACCCCAAGGCAATGCAACCCTTAGAGCAACCAGCCATGTGACACTAGAGAGGTACCATTCACATAGGGGGAAAGCTGGACAGACAGGAATGCGGTTCAGAAGGGCACAGGGAGGGGAAGAGAGTTTGTCATGGTCAAGGATGGTAACTGGGGCATAAAATCAAATGTGCATGAACTGTTGAATGTAAAACGTTTGCTTTGTAAATCCGTACCCAAATCACAATAAAATTTAACAACAACAAAAAAAAAAATTGCCATCACTTCAATTCCAACTCACAGCAACCCTACAGGACAGAGTAGAACATCCCCCTAGGGTTTCCAAGGCTTTGGTTTCCATCTTTATGGAAGCAGATTCCCTCATCTTTCTCCTGTGGGACAGCTGGTGGGTTTGAACCACTGACCTGGTTAGCAGCCAGATGCCTTACCCACTGCACCACTAGCGTGCCTATTTAATTCTGCTAGCAGCTAAAGAGTAAGTGGCATTACATTTATCTTTCAGGTGAGGAAAAGTGAGGTGCAGAAAAGTTAAATTACTTAACCCAAATGCTCTTAGGCAAAATATAGAAGACTTGATATTCAAATTTAGTGGAATTCCTAAAGTCAGAATTCTTTCTATTACACCAGGGAATCCCAAAACTTTATAAAAATGCAATAGAAGAGCAATTAATAGTCTTGTAGAAACAAATTTAAATGACTTCTCATAATCAGTTGCTGAAATCTCATGTCTTGGGGCTGGACACCAGCTTTCTAGTGTCTAAAGATAAGGGTCACTAGAAATAGAATAAATTTTTCAGTGATAGTTTGCCATCTTTATTAATGCTGAAAATAAACTTCCTGGGGACAGGTGAATCACACTATATTCTCATCTGATGTATCCTGAAATATTCTAGTAATATTTAAGTAAAAATTATATTGATGTAGATCATTGATGAGTGCCATCCTTTAATTTTAGCAGCAGTAATTCTGATAGAATTAACAAATGCCAAAATCAGTTTGGTTGGTTTGGATTGGTGCATACCTCTGCAGTAAAGATGAATGGCTAGATTCAGTTGAACTGAAGTACTGTCAGACCTTGAACTCCTTTAAAAAAACTCACAAGGTTAAGGTGTTAATGTTTTTCAAATAGTGATAATGAGAAATGATGACATTTTTTACTGATTTCAGATGAGGCTGTGGACCCAGGCAAGACAAATGGGGTGGTATGCAGCAAAGTGCATGGCTGCAGATAGTTTAGAAGACTCTATTGACATGGATTTCAGCTTTGAACTTTTTGCTCATGTAACAAAATTTTTTAACTATAAGGTAAGATAAGCAAATTAATGCCTTTTTTCTGCTTATTAGTCTTGTAACCAAATATGATTATCTAACTTTCTCACCAGAATAAAAATGTAAGTGGCTTTAGTGAATGTTGTTAGGTGTTGTCGAGTCGGTTCCAACTCATAGCAACCCATACAACAGAACAAAACACTGCCCAGTCCTGCACCATCCTCACAGTCACTGCTATATTTAAGCCCATTGTTGCAGCCACTGTGTTAATCCATTTCATTGAAGGTTGTCTTCTTTTTTGTGGACTCTACCTTACCAAGCCTCAGTTAATAGTATTATCAAAAATGAAATATTTTCTCATTTCTTTCAAGTCAGTACGCAGTATTATTGTTGGTCTTATTTCCCAATCTTCTGATAATCACACTGTACTATTTTTCATTAAGGGGGAAAATCTCTCCAGATGGGTTCCATTTTGGGTCATTTCTGAGTTTTATTTGAGCTTCATCCTTTCTTTTTGAGGGGAACTAACAGCTATCACACACAGGAATGAATCAGGGGCTTTCATATACATATTATCCTATTTAATTCTCTTTATATTATTCTAAGGCAGGTTTATTTTTCTTGATTTGAAAATGAGGAGACAAACATACACACAGAAGGCTGAGGGAGGTTAAGTATTTTATGCATGAAAGCTCTAAGTCTGTTTCTTATTAAAATCTTTAAACCATGACTGTAGGCTAATGTGTGTGATCTTATATCCTATTTATCTACTATATCTTTTCAATATTCATATAGATTCTGTGGTAGTATCATGTGTAAAATATATTCACCAGAAATTTCTAATGCTTCTATAAATCTAGTATCTTCAGACCCTCCACAGTGACATTTTTAGCTATAATATTTTATAGATTTTTTTTTTTGTGATTATAGCATAACAAAATATCTTTGTATTATGTTTCCTTTTGGGTATTCACTACAGTATCTTTTCTTATCTTTATATTTAGGTTGTACTATTAGGAAAATACAATGCACAGGGCTTAGGTTCAGATCATGAATTAATGCTGAGATGTACCAAAGGGCAAGAATACATCAAAGTCGTCATGCAGAATGGACGAATGATGGGAGCTGTCTTAATTGGTGAAACTGATTTGGAAGAAACCTTTGAAAACCTAATTCTAAATCAAATGAATCTTTCATCATATGGAGAAGATCTGCTAGATCCAAATATTGATATAGAAGATTATTTTGACTGAAAAGGCATTTCCAGAACTAAGACAAAGAAATCTCAAGCCAATAAACTGAGTGACTTTATTGATTTAGTGATGAACACACTGAAGTTAAAAATTCAGAAATGATAGTCATTTTAGTGGACAGATATGGGGGAAAAAACATGTTCTAAGGACAAAATCAACTCAGATATTGATAGGTATGTTTCTCTAACATAAAATCGACTACTTAAAATTGCTTAAGAAATCTTAAATTACTCATTTCTGTGTTTAAACTTAGACATATTCATTTGTGATTTAGATTTGGAACAAATTCACCTAGGTGCTTATGTGCTTAGCCAAAACATGCTCTAGTAGACAACTAGAGTCATTCTCTGATGCAGATTGTGAGATGGCAAAATAGGTCTGTGGTTTTAATAAACTTACAGTTGTATTCTACTCAAAGAGTAGTTGTAGCAATACCTTATTTGCTAATATCATTGTATTAGTAACCTTATTCCTTTATTGTTTGGATTCTACAGCTGGTTTTATAAGCTGATATTGTCCACATTTTTTCAGCTTAAAAATATCACTCACTCTTAGTAATGAAACATGTAACATTTTCAGTGTAATAATACTACCAAGATTACTGTGTCAAGGCAAGAGTATAAGATAGTTATGTGAACTTACAACTATTTTATACTTAACAGATTTTAAATAACAAATTTATTTTTCCCCTTGTTACATACTGTAAAATTATACCAGTAATTCACAATCTCAAATTCTCAAAAAATAAACAGTTGTTCAATAGCTCAGAGACAAACCCTGAAAATATAGGTCTACCATATATATAAAATACTAATGAAACTGTCCTAAAACTTAAGGTTTTGGTTATCCACAAAAAAAAATAATGTATGCATGCATAAACTGTTCTTTTCTTGGAAAATTTAGTAACAGTGATCTCAGACATCATCAAATTTTCTTTTCTTAGCTCCTGTATTCTTAGATTGCTGAAGCATGTTTACAGACTTCTTGTAGAAGTTACCTGATTTTTTTTCTTGCTTCTTGCTGTCCCCTTGTTCAGAATGACAAGTTTGAGATGATTCAACCTACAAAACAACAAACCAAGTACCCTGGTAAAACTTCAACTAGTTCATTTTCTTGAGATTAATAATGTCAAAATATTAATTTCATATCACTTAGCTCCTTAATGGTCTATTTCTGTACATTCACATTTCTACTCAAATAAGAGCCTTATTCACCTTTTGAATAGAATGGGTTATGGTGTCAGACAAAAACCCCTAAAGAATATCTGAAGTGTCCTTAGACACAATGAATGATGAGTGGCACGACTTTGCAGGTTTGACAGTATATGGTTTTAACAGTGGTTTTCATCCTCTGGAGCCACACAGACAGACTTCTCAACCAATTCTGTTCATAACCAATATGACGGGGACAGGGTGCATCATAAGATTAGACATTAAAACGCAGTCCTCACATTCAAAAAGATTTTGAAACCCCTCTTCTATCTTAAAAGGTCTGAGCTCTTCCACTTAATATCTCTGTAAGCAAACAAAAGTTATTTCCCTCCCCACACAGTAAAATCTAAGAAAAAAACTGACTTATCTCATATTCCACTGGATCTGGGAAAGTACTAGTTAAAAGGAAACCTATAGGCATTAATGTACTTCAGAAAAATTAATATAGAAATTTGCAATTAATAACCAGTCAGTTACCCCGAAACAGCTTTGTGTAGGTTTCTTTACTTGCATGGTAATAACATGCGCCTCATTGTTCAGAAGATTGGCTTTTGGTCCTATTTTCAAATATGAAATGGTAGCATAAGCTGTAAAACTGTAGTCTTCTCTGCAGATGATAAAAATCAACAATCAGAAAGGTTCTGAAGTCATAGACTACAAAAAACAACTGAAATTTATAAAAGAAATAACAATTTTAAGTAACAACATTGATGAAATAAGAATAAAGCATACTGTCAAAACTCACTGCCATGAAGTCAGAGCTTACTCATAGTGACCCCTCCTTGGGTTTCTGAGGCAGTAGCTCTCTGGAGGTAGATTGCCCAATCTTACTTCCAAGGAGTGGCTGGTGGGTTTGAACCACCTGCCTTCTGGTTAGCAGTCAAATGCCTTAGCCACTGCTCCACCAGAGCTCCCAAAACATACTGTAAGAATATGAAAATGGCTTCACAGAAAATATTTTCATTTAGTGTTTTTATGATTTGTAAGTGATCAAATAAAGTTTCAATTTGCTATTAGGTAAATTTTCTATAGCATTTAAAAGTTCACATGTGGCAACTGGAAATCCATTTATTCTGTTGCAATTTTAAAAAATCCTATCATCAGAAGTGAAGAAGAGTGCAAAAAATAAAAAAAACAAGGGCAATTTGGAAGCAATCAGCCCTAGGACACAATGGCCCTCGAGACCAGAAAAACTAGATGGTGCCCAGCTACCAATACCAACCACTCAGGATCAAATCTGGAGATCCTGGATAGAGTGGGAGAAAAAACGTGGAACAAAATTCAGAAACTCAATAATGACCAGAATTACTGGTCAGATGGAATCTGGTGAGAGCCCCAGTACTATGGCCTTGGGATACACTCTGGGCCTGGAATAAAACTCACTCTCAGGGGCTGGCTCTCAGCCCAACAGTAAACAAGATATGTACACAGACCACTCAACTCAGAGTAACGTACCCACATACTCTATGGAGATCATCCCTTGGAGCAATCGACCATGGGACACCAGAGGGGCAACATTCGCATGGAGGAAATGCAGGACACACAGGAGTGCATAACTATGAGGGGCACAGGGGGAGGGGGAGTTATTGGGCAGGCAGGAGAGGAATCTGGGTTAGGGTTAGGGATGATAAATGGGGAGTGAAACTAAATGTACATGTAATGTTGAATGTAAAACAAACTGCTCTGTAAATTTGCACCTGAAGCAGCATAATAAAAAAAAAAAAAAAGAAGTAGTGATCATTACAGACAACACAAAGGATAAGAAATGGCTGGTATATACTTAAGATACTGCTGTAGAAGAAAGTGTGCAATAATTTTCTCCAGGTCTTCACGAGGAAGTATGGGAGGAGTGACACCTGCTGCTCTCAATTTTGCTGCACCCTTTCCCATCCAAGAATCAATCAGTTTCAATGGAGTCAACTTTTCATTCAGCTCCTCTGCCTGTTTCAGGATCTTGATTAGATCTCTGCAGTACTCTGTTACATTCTTTCTTTCAAATGCTATTATGAAAAAGACATGATACAGGTAATTAAAATTTAAAAGAGGGCAAGGAGATACTATGCTAGTGGTTAAACTGGTTTAAAACTAGTAATCATTGTATGAGCCACCCTCAACACTGATTTGCCAATGTGTTATGAATTAAGACTAGGCTATTCCTCAAATGGGGAGCTCTGGTAGCATAATGCCTAAGGCACTTGACTGCTAACCAGAAGCCTGGCAGTTCAAATTTATGTATCAGACCCTTGTTAATTGGTCAGCATGAAACATTCTAATAAACTCATAAATAAGTTTCTCTAGCTACAAAGTTAAAACTAGTGAACTCCACCCACCAAGATATTAGAACTCAGTGTTAAGAACTAGATAGTCCTGCTCTTCAAACACACGCACATAGGATAAAAAAAAAAAAAAAAATTATAATATAGTGCCAAAACATTGCTAAGTTAGTATCTTATAAACTGTCATCATCTGGATCAAGAATGATTCATTATAAACTATTTTGCAATAAATTTCTCTCCCCTGTCAGTGGCTGTACTAGAATTATCCTATTCTTAACATTTCTAGTAAGAATTTTAAAAATTTTTCTTAATTTCTTAAAAATTCCATATGCCCTCAGTATAGCAATATGAAATATGTACATATATGACTTTTCCCTTTATTCACCTTTTTTTCAAAACTCTGTGGTGTCTTATAAATCTGGAATAGTCTACTTAAAACCAAACAAAACAGAACAAGTTTGCCATCATGGTGATTCTAAGTGACACCTCCTTGGGTTTCCAGGGCAGAATCACTATGGAAGTAGATGCCCAGTCTTCCTTGCAAGGTGGGCTGGTGGGTTTGAACTGCCAGTCTTCTGGTTAGAAGTCAAGTGCCTTAGGCACTATGCCACTTTGTTTAATCTTTTAAAACCATCTTTAAGACTCAAAAAAAAAAAAAAAAAACTCACTGCCATCGAGTCAGATCCGACTCATAGCGACCCCTCCTTGGGTTTCTGAGGCAATATCACTATGGAAGTAGATTGCCCAATCTTCCTTCCTAGGAGTGGCTGGTGGGTTTGAACCATCAGACTTCTGGTTAGTAGTCAAATGCCTTAGGCACTACGCCACCAGAGCTCCCTCTTTTAAGTCTAGATATTCTTGTCTCATGTAGTCCTGTCTTCGCTATATATATCCCATAAAGATTTTAAAAACTCATCTCACCGATGTCTTTACAGCAGTTATCACACATTTTGTTACATGCATCTGAGTTCCACACTTCATCAAAATGTTGAGCTATCAATACACGACGACATCTGAAAACACATTTAGAGATACAAATTATTAAAGCATCTAAGTTTTAAGAGGGAGCTCTCGTAGTGTAGTGCCTAAGGCACTTGACTGCTAACCAGAAGGCTGGAGGTTCAAACCCACCAGCCACTCCTCGGAAGGAAGATGGGGCAATCTACTTCCATAGTGATACTGCCTTGGAAACCCAAGGAGGGGTCGCTATGAGTCGAGTCCAACTCAATGGCACATAACAACAACAACAAGTTTTAAGAATCCTTATTTCAAAATACAGGCTTCTATATTTTAGTTCCATATTGTTGCCACCACAAACTTAGTGGCTTAAAATGTATTTTTACAGTTCAGTTATTTAGAAGTCTGACACAGGTCTCACTGGGTTAAAATGAAGGTGTTGGCAGGACTGCATTTCCTCTGGAGACTATAGGTAAGAAATCTGTTTCATTGTCCTTTTCTGACTTCTAGAGGCTCCCTGCAATATTCCTTGCCTCTGGACACTCTTTCTCCATCTTCAAAGCCAGCAAAGGCAGGCTGAATCCTCCTCACACTGAGTAACTCCCACCTTCTCTTCTGCTTCCCTCTTCCACTTTTAAGGACCCTTGTGATTACACTGGATCCACCTAGATGACCTAAGATAATCTCCCTACTTTAAGGTCAATCAATTAGCAACCTTAACTGCATATGCGACCTTAACTCCTTTTTGCCATATAATGTAACATACCCACAGAGTCCTGCAATTTAGATGTGGACATCTCTGGAAGGGCCATTATTCTGCCTACCACATGTAATGTAAAATGCTTTTTTCCCATAGGCCCTTGATAAACATAGCTTAAGAAGTCATATACTTTAAATATATCCATTAATTCAGGGCACAAAGTTATAAAAACTTCTTAGCCATAACCAAATACCTTGAGGGAACAAGTCACTAGGCCTGGGGACTCAGGACCATAGTCTTAGGGGACATCAAGGTCAACTGGCACAACACAGGCTAAAACATGTTCTATATCCTACTTTGGTGAGTAGCAACTGAGATCTTAAAAGCTTGTGAGCAGCCTCTAAGGTGCAACTATTGGTCTTTCCCTATCAAGAACAAAGAAGAGTAAAGAAAGTCAAAGACGTGTAGAAACAATTAGTCCAAAAGACTAACGGACCATATGAACCTCAGCCTCCACAATCCTGAGACCAGAACTAGATGGTGTCTGGCTACCAATGCTGACCACTCTACAAAGGATCACATTAGAAGGTCCTGGATTGAGTAGAAGAAAAACATGGAGACAAAATAGTAAAAAAGACCAGGCTTGGTCAGGTAGAGACCTGTGCAACCCCTGAGACTAGGACCCTTGGTCACCCCTCAAGTCTGGAACTGAACTCACCGCCATGACTCAATTTTCAGCCAAATAATAGGTCTATAAGGTTAACAGTAACAGAGAGGTAGGCACTGCTTAGAAGAATCAAAAGGGCAGCAACCAAGGACAGAGCTCAGAAGGCACGGAGAGAAAGGAAGAATGGAAACAGGGAAACACAGGGAGGAAGTGTGACAAGTGATATTATATTGTGAAGACTGAATAACATGTAACAAAATGTATATGTACTGTTGAATGGAAAACCGAATTGCTCTGTAAACCCAAATCATAATAAAAAGTTTAAAAAGAAAAGTTACCTGACTTTCATTTTGAGATTCAACATTTTACAACTATCAGACAATCAGAAAGCAGTTTTGTGTATTCTCTGTATCAATATCTTAGTCTGAAACCAAAAAAAACTTCATGGGGCCTTCTGGACAAAATACTTGTTTTCCCATTTCTTTAACTGGTTTATTGTAGCATCTATAGGAAAAGAAATGCCCTAATCCTGTCCAGTTAATTATCATGCCAACATTTTCTGAGCCTGCCTTATGTGATGAGCAATAGCGTAGTACAAAGGTGACAATGTCCAAAAGCCATCAGCAATCTTTTTTTTTATAGTTAAAGCCAATCTAAACAGATTTAAGAGCTCTGGTAGCCCTGGGGTTAAGGTGTTGGGATGCTAACCAAAAAGTCAGTGGTTCAAATCTACCAGCCACTCCAAAGAAGGAGGAGAAAGATGAGGCAGTCTGCTTCTGTAACCCCCTATGGGGGCTGCTATGAGTTGGCATCAATCCAGTGGCAGTGGCTTGGCCTAAATAGATTTAAGTTCATTTTTAAAGGAGAAACTTGGCTCTGAGCCTTCAGCTTCCATCAGCTGGTAGCACAGCATGTGTTAATGAACTCAACTCTCAAAATGCCTATATTCTTATAGACCTGTTCAAAATTATTAAATTGCAGAGCTATACACAAGTTTGAACTTTCTCATTCTGTATGAAAACCTTCAATAAAAACAACAGTTTTAAAGGATTATCTCAAAGATAGGTAGATATATCTTTTCTTAGATTACAGCTTCATGTGCTGATCTCTTTTCTTAGATCAAGGCTTCATGTACTGGATCCACCCTTCAGGCATCTATCTTCTTTTACAGGTTTACGTTATACCCATCCATCTACTACTCACTTTAGTAAGTACTCAAAGTAATGTCACACTCTTTCATATTTGTGATTGTCTTTGACAAAAGTTATAAAAAAGAATGTGGCTTACTTGCTTATGTTCTGACAGTATGACACCATCTCATAAAGCTTCTGTTGTCCCACATTTTCCATCACCACCATTGAACTTACTCTGAATATATCACCAAAGCCATAATATAAAATACAGTCGGCTTTCATGTCATCTCGACCTGTAGTTTGAGAAATTTTGAGATTGAATAATTTTAAAATTTCAAAACATGGAAAAATAACATGTAAAATTAGCTGGTAATACTCTAGTCTATATATACTACATCTAGAAATTTTAGACACAGATGTGAGTTAATCTGTAACAGGTGCCCTTGAATTAAAAAAATTAAAGACTAGAGAGTTTTAGCAACAATCAGCTTTATTAAGTGAAAAAAAAAAAAAAAAATGGAGGGGGATAAAGAAAAAAAAAAAAAAAAGGTCTATAAGTAATCCAGTTATTTGTTACAGATTTTAAACCGCTAATTGGAAATTCAGGAGGCAGGGATGGACATCAAGTTTTCTGCCCAATCATTAAGAAGAAACAATTCATAACACTCCAGTAGAACATGAGTAAAATCCATCCATAAGTAAGTATAAAATTGCTCAAAAGTCTTTATTATTTGTTCCAATATAACTAACCAATAAAGATTAAAAATTTAAAAGTCTTAAAACATCATTCATAGTTTATTTTCTGGAAAAACTTTTTTTAAGAAAGTACTTCTGGATTGCAGTGCTACATACCTGCACGTCCACTCTCTTGGTAATAATTCTCCATAGACTTGCTGATTGAATGATGTATAACAAACCTCACATCTGGTTTATCAATTCCCATACCAAATGCAACTGTTGCCACTACGACCTGAAATGTATGTAACATTTTACCTGTTAATTACGTTCAAATATTTTTAAAGGTAAATTAGGCTTCTATTTAAGATATATACTTAACCTGAATTTCATTGGCTGACCATTTTCTGTGAACCTTTGTCTTATCTTCAGGCTCCATATTGGCATGGTAAGCACCTGCATGAATTCCCAAATTCTGTAAACTAACAGTAACTTGTTCAGAGTCTTTCTGAGAGAAACAGTATATGATTCCTGTAACAAAATATGGCCAGTTGTTAGTCAAAGGCAGTACAATCCTGGAAGTTAATTTTCAACATACACACTCAAGATACTAATACAATACATAGGGGGACAAAAGAATTATAAAATAATCCAAGGCCCTGGGCATATATTGATTTTTTGGTGTAATTCAAGATTTGATCACTAGCTTGCTTTAAAGTAAGCCTTCAGCAACCAGTTTTGATTCCCATTACCTCTTTTCACTCTCCAGCTTTATCTGCCACTACGCAGTATTTTTCAAATTGCTGTCACACAGCTCCATAAGAGTAAACAAGTGTGCTGTGGAAAAAGAGTTTCATGTGCAAATGAGTTTGGGAACACTGCATTAAAACAGAATTAAACAGGTTTCTCTTTTCACACAGGATTGGTCAGAACTTAGGTGTTGATACCCTGTGAATCTCTAGGAAGGAAAAACAACTGCAGCCTTTCTCAAACTTATTTGACCCTAGAACTCCTTTTAGCCAGGACACTCATTAGTATCTATAGCTAAAAAGCTATAGAACAGTTTTGAAATACCACTTTACACAAACTCTGCTTCAGTAACACTTGTCTAGTCATTAATCCTGGGAACAAATTAAACATATAGTCTCAACTCCATCTATGCTTAACCTATCCAATATGTACTATTTATTTATTTATCCTTTATTAAAGGGACTATGTTTCTTATCCCTTTAGAACTTCAGTGCCTAATCCTCTTTCACACACTAAATACTTTCTAAATATAATTCACATTACATCATTAGGTCCATTCTTTAAAGCAATTGTGTAAACAAGCAAAAATAAATCAGAAAATTCTATGATTCTTAGACTCTGTAGCATAAGCAAATATCACCCAATTCTAAGATCATCAAACGGAATAATTTTACAACAACATTTTCAAGGATCTTCTGCCATACCTTAATATTTTTGGTGTCAGTTTATGTCAGTGTACTATGAGTTACTGCTTTGTGAAAGTTATCTCTACGACTTTGATTTTGTTTGTTTTCTGTATTACCTGATTGTCCTTTGTATCGCCCATTAATAAGCTTCACAATATCCTCAATAAAATCATCAGTGTTTGACGGCTTCTGCCGAACCTAAAAAAAATAAGCGAACTTATTAAAAAGTAAATTAATGAGTACCATCCAAGTAGCCATTTGTTTACAACTCTCCAGGTGCTATTCCATCCTGAGCATGGTCACTTTTTTCTATTTCCTCTTCACTAGCCTCATACAACAGCCTTGCCACCTCCTACACTTTCCTTATTTTTTAATTTACCAGAGATGAGGTGACAGAGAATCAGTGACTAACTTGTAAAACTGGAGACTTTTCTTTTTCTTTGATAAAAACCATAACACAAATACCTATTCAATGACAACACAGAAATTTATTACACCTACTCTTAAAAGGAATAGAAAAGAAAAAAGATCTTTTAGTTTGTTTAGCTTTCAAATTTGTACCAAATAAAATTTAAAAAGGCAGTATCAGCAAATCTTTGATGTCACATAAATATTTCTACTATTTAGTAATTTCAATAGAGATATCGTTAAAGTCCTTAGTATCATTCCATCTTTCCATTCTTGTACAAGAAGCACTGTATGTAAATTTAACAAGTATGTGACTTGCTCATATTTTTTATGAAAGAAAGTATGCACCCAAGCAGGGAAATGTCTTCTCCTTAGCAAAGGACGAGGCAGCACAACACTTACATGAGTAACACACTGATTAATGAATCTGCTTATAATCACCTTCTGATTTTAAAAATATTTTTACATAGTTAACTGTTTCTTGTGTAAAATAAACAAAATAAAAAGGCTAACAACTCTGCTGAAACCCTCACAAAACTAATAAATTGATGTAAAAGTTAAATACCTCATAATAAAGATTTGGCCGATTAAAAGAAGCTGTAAAAGTAAAACACTTTTCAATACACAAAATCTTCTGAGCATCCTTCAAAACATGATTTGTTGCAGTTGCAGTCAACCCAATTAGAGATGTGTTAGGGAATTGCCGCTTTAAGATACCAAGTGCCTTATAATCTGAAAAAAATAATAAAGAATACCAAGTGGCCCTCTCTCCATCCTTTAAAGATTAAACTATACCTTTCAACACTATGCAGACAACCAATGATTAATTTTTTTAATAGGCAGGCTTTATTTTAACTATTTCTACAGAAACACTGTTCTTAGTCAGAGATGGGATCTCTATTGCAGAGGGGGGGAAAAAAAAAAAAACTAAAGTCACTGCCATCGAGTAGAATCTGATGCACAGCAACCCCCCGTTGGGTCTCTGGGGCTGTAAATCTTTACAAAAGTAGATCTCCCCATCTTCCTTCCACAGAGCAGCTGGTGGGCTTGAATCACCAACCTTCTGGTTAGCAGCCAAATGCCTTATCCACTATGCCACCAGATCTCCTTTACTGAAGAGAAGGAATACCTCAACATTCCACCCCACCTCCACCTCCACCTCCACCTCCACCTCCACCAAGAGACACCAAGGAGCTGTGCTTCCTCCTCAGACCTCAAAGTTTCAGCTCCACGGGACCCTCCTCCAAGTTTCTAATTGTATTAATCCCTACTTTTTCTTTCTGTTCCCCAGCCCTAGGGATAGTTACTTCTTCCAGTTTCTACCTCCATAATACCTGAGAATTTTCTTTTGCTTTTTCAGTTATCTATTTAACCACTTTTTTAACCCATTCTTTATTTTAAATTTTCTGTGTTGAAATAACTGGTATGGTTTCCATCTCCTGACTGGACCCTGACCAGATGTGTGAGTGGTGGAATGATTTCTAAGGGAAGACTGAAGGAGGCATTCCTTGAGAGGAGGGGCAGAAGAAAGGGATAAAGCAAGGAGAGAGGAAGAAAATCAAAAGCTATTGGTCAAGATTATCTAGCACAGCAAATGGGCAAACATAACTCCCAGTTGCAGAATAGAAGGAAAAAGGGAAGTTCTTTTGGGGAGAACTTAGTTTTAGTCAGGGTAATTTAGATGTACATTTCTAACAATGAGGAGTATAAACCTAAAGTTTGAGAGTCAGATAACTGGAAATGGGAATAAATTATTACAGCTTGGCAGCATACCCACAGAGGTGACATGTCGGGATAATATATAAGCAATGATGAAAATACTGCTCAGGTTGAAAATATAAAACAAGAACCATTAAGTCAAATACCTTCAATAACAAATGTGAAGAGTCGTCTGGTTAAGACAGTGGGATCTTAGCAGACAGTATATATACCCTGCTGAAAGTACTTAAATAAAATTGAAAAAAAAAAAAAATTTGTGCCCCAAACAATTCTGAAAGTAGACATTCAGTCTTCAGGATAAGACTTTACTCTCTCTGGAGAAGTAGAAGAAAAGATAAAGACTGAGATCAGAACGCTAGAGATTACTAATATTTAAGAAGGCAAAAGAAGAGTAAAGTGGGTGGGAAAAACGGAAAGAAAAGCCTTATAACATCATAATAAGCAAAAGGGAAGAAAGGAGTAAGGTGAGAGGTGAACAGTGCGAAATGCTACTGAAGTGAAGAGAAGGATGAAGGACAATGAGACATGAGATGAGGCCCTTGGCAGGTAGGGTGATTAGTGACTGTTTCATTAAGAGCGGGAGAGACAGAAACGATTCAGCGAATTCAGAAAGGAACAAAAAGTGAGAAATGGAGACGGTACGTTTAAAAGTTAGAAGGTTTAGAAGGTAAAGAACAGAAATAAGCCAATACGGTAAAGAAGTGGAAAAGGTCAGAAGGGTGTTTTAATTTCTTTCTTTGTTTTGGGGAAGGAAAAAAACTAAAGATGTAGGAGTAAAAATTTGACAGAGTGAGATTTTAAGGCAGGAAAGGATAGAGTGGGAGTGGTTACCTTTATATAAAAAAATCTTTTTTGTCTTTAAAAAAAAGTAATATTTGGAAGGAGAGAGACATTCATATCTATTTTCCAGGAAGTAGGCGGCATCTGCTAAGTATGAGTTGAGGCCTGAAGAGAAAGTTAATGCTATGGAAAACTTGAGAAATGTATACATTTTATATTGAATTAGGGCTTGTTATATATATTTTATCACAAGAAAATTAAAAAGAAAATAAGTAAGATAAGAAGAGCCCTAGTGGCACAACAGTTAAACACTAGGCTGCTATCCAAAAGGCTGGCCATTTGAACCCACTCAGCAGCTCCATGGAAGAAAGACCTGGTGACCTGCTCCTATAAAGTTTACAAACCAAGAAACCCTATGGGTCAGTTCTACACTGTTACATGGGGTCACAATGGCACACAATGATAACAAAAGAATAGTTGAGTATGGTGAAAGCCAAACTAAAGTAGAAATTAATGCATTAAGCAATTTCTTTTCCCACAAATATTTTGTAGCCCAAATAGCAAGAATAGGGAAAGGAGAAGTCTAGATGGATCCAAGATCCCAACCTGGCACAGTCCCCAAAGCAAACTGATAAAACGGCCAGGCAATCCAAGGGGAATATAATAGACACAAATAACAACAGGGCAGAGACTGGGGGAGAAAACGAGTCAATGTCATGTGGGAACTGGAGCCACGAACAAAGAAGGAAGGGTTAAATAAAGAGGGGCCCAAGAAGTCCAGATGAGTGTGTATAGCAGGTTCTGGAGGAAAAGAGGTTGTAATCAGTGAACAGGATTTTGTATGTGAGATTGTTTGCACAAACAAAGTCTGAATAACCTACTTCAAACTGAGATTTAGTTGGTGGAGTGAAGAAAAGGGTTGTTAAAATATTTCCCAGAACTGAAATAGTGAGGAGCTGGATGTGGATGCTGAAGACATCACATTTTCTTCTAGAAAGAAAATTCTGAAGAATTTATGTACTTAAGCATAGCAATGATTGTGAGGATGGCGCAGGACCAGAAGAAATTCTGAGCAGATGCAAATTCCTAGAAGAAAATTCTTAGCAGATGCAAATTCCTCAACAAATGTGAGGTTACTAAATTCCACAAGGATGGGAGGGAGTATATTTGCTAATAAACACACATTTCAGAAGATAAAGGCAATGAGACTGAAAACTGTAGTGAGGAGTAAAGAGATTAGACTCTGCCTCCTGGACCCTTCATATTAAGGTAAAAGAAAATGAGCAAAAACTTCCTGAGAGGATAATTTTAATAGAAGCAAGGATATCCATCATGTAAAGCTGAGTAAGAAAACAGTCCCAAACATCAAGGCATTTCTAGATAAAGCATACATACCAGGTCTGAAATCATGTCCCCACTGACTACAGCAGTGAACTTCGTCCACAGCAATTCGAGTAAATCTTCTTGCTTCATAAGCTTTCTCTAGTCTTGACATAAACATTTTGCTTTTTGCAATTTTTTCTGGAGTCACATAAATGAGCTTTAACTTGGAGTTTTTATTTACCATTTCAGCATGAACCCATTTCACATGCTCCTATTTAAAGGAAAACCAGACACCATGATAACAGAACTAATTTAACAACTGCAGTCTAAAAACCAAAACCAAACCCAATGCCACAAAGTCAATTCCAACTCATAGTGACCCTATAGGACAGAGCATAACTGCCACACCAGGTTGCCAATGCTGTAAATCTTTACGGAATCAGACTGCCTCATTTTTCTCCCAGAGTTGTGATGAGTTTGAACTACTCACCTTTTGGGTAACAGCCAAATGCCTTAATCACTGCTCCATCGGAGCTCCTCACAAATTGCAATACTAAGTGCTAAATGAAGACATTCATCACTCAAAAGGAACAGCCTTGAGCTGTTATAGCAGATGTTTATTTAGTTCATTAAAGTGGAAACTATGCCGCAGTACTAAACTTCATGGCAGCTGTGTAAATAGCATTTTAGTTAATTACTTACATCCAAACTGCTGATGACAAAAATATAATCTCACTTGACAAGAAAGAGAACAAAAAATTGAATGTGGAAAGACATTTCAGTAAAGAGTATCTATTCTATGAAGGCATAATCCTAAATTCATAATAAAAGCCAACATGTCAGCTAAATGAAATAGCTATGATTATACAGGTGAGCTTTATTATTAAGCTTTTTTATTGATGTTAATTTTTTATTACCTACTTTAATGATGTTATCAAATCTACTTATGATCTCTATTTAAATATAAAAGCCATAAAATTTTATAAAATATTTTATTCATTAAATTAAGATTGTGACCAAAAAAAAAAAAAAAGGTGTAAGGTAACATTTATTATAGTTTTGTTGTTCTTAAGTGCTGTTGAGTTGGTTCTGACTTACAGCAACCCTACAGACAACAAAGTGAAACATTGCCTGGTCCTGCGCCATCCTCACGATCATTGCTATGCTTGAGTACATCGTTTCAGCCACTGTGTCAATCTTCCCTCAATGAGGGTGTTACCCTTTTACACTGCCCCTCTACTTTACCAAGCATGACAGTAATGTTGTTGTTGTTGTTATGTGCTGTTGAGTTGGACCCAACTCATAGCGACCCCTCCTTGGGTTTCCGAGGCAGTATCACTACGGAAGTAGATTGCCCCATCTTCCTTCCGAGAAGTGGCTGGTGGGTTTGAACCGCCAGCCTTCTGGTTAGCAGTCAAGTGCCTTAGGCACTACACTACCAGAGCTCCCATGACAGTCACAGCACTCTGATATTATTTCATACATCTAATATTTAGTAATTAGATGTCATTTTTTCCTAATCTAATAAGCCCCAAAATTGTAAAGAAACCATGGAAAGAAACAGTCAAAACTGCTTTCATGATCCAAATGAAGAAGCAATTCATTAACTCCTAGTTAACTCCTAGAGATACTTGATTTCATTAAGAAATGGCTAGTGTACTAAATATTTCAAATAGTTCTAAATGTCCCTAAGAAAACTTAGGGAAGCAAATGTAAGACTATTTTCTAAAAAAATGGATAGGTGCAATAGTAAAATCAGAACCTCTGGTACACCCATATGTATGTGAAAGCTGGAAAATGAATAAGGAAGACTGAAGAAGAGTCAATGCTTTTGAGTTGTGGTGTTGGGGGAGAAGACAGAAAGTACCATGGACTGCCAGAAGAACGGTTCTGGAAGAAGTCCAGCCAGAATGCTTCTTGGAAGCAAGAATGGTCAGACTTCATCTCACCTACTTTAGTCATATTGTCAGAAGGGACCATTCCGTGGAGAAGGATATGCTTGGTAAAGTGGAGGGTCAACAAAAAAGGGGAAGGCCCTCAACAAGATGGATTGACACATGGCTTCAATGATGGGCTTAAGTATAGCAAGCATTGTGAGGCTGGTGCAGGACTTGACGCTGTTTCATTCTGTTGTACACAGGGTTGCTATGAGTTGGAGCTGACTCGACAGTACCTAACAAGGTTTGAAAAAAAAAAAAAAGTGTTATATTCTATGAACTATTAGTGAAAACAACCAGAAAACTGGACTGCAGTTATTCTTTCTCTCTCTCCAATTTATAAGTATCTGCATGTTTCTAAGCTACTTTCTATTACTATTATTCTCTTCTTCAGTTTTAAGAAAGTACAGTAGTATTAGAAGAGCAATGTTCTCAACAAATTCATTCTGTTGACTGCAAAAGGAGATGTAATGATACAAGAGTTTGAATGAAATGAAATACATGGGAGAAACAAAAGGGACCAGGGCTACTTAGAGAAATGGCTGATTCCATGTCTAGGCAGGATATGTACAAAAGTACAGAATATCTTGTTGCAAAAGAAAGAAGCTATCAAAAGCTATGTTGCTGTTAGATGCCGTTGAGTTAGCTCCAACTCATAGCAACCCTATGTACAACAGAATGAAACAATGCCTGGTCCATGCCAGCCTCACAGTCCTTGCAGTGCTAGAGCCCATTGTTGCAGCCACTGTGTTGATCCATCTCATTGAGGGCCTTCCCCTTTCTGGCTGACCCTCTACCTTATCAAGCATGATATCTTCTCCAGGGGATGGTTCCTTCTGACAACATGACCAAAGTTAAGTAAAAAAGATTTCAGGGCCAATTCTCACTGCTCAAAGATGGGACTATTTCAGCATAAAAAAGAATAGTAACTACAAATGGGTATGTATCAAATATGTTAAAAAAAAAATCTATTATAAATAAGTTTATAACAATACCTGAAAAAAATGAAAGAACTTATTGACCAACTATGGAAAATGCTGCAAAACCAATTCATTCTGAAAACTGGCAAAGAAAGGGAAAGAATCTAATGTTTTCATCTTGCAAAGGGTTTATGAGGAAAAAGTTCCTTTGTAGAAAAAGCCTAGTTAATATATGAAGTAGGAAAGACAGAATTTGAAATCACCATTTTATAACCACTTAATGAGTCCCTACAGAGCTCAGGTGGAGCAATGGTTTAATCATTTGGCTGCTGACCGAAAGGTCTACAGTTCAAACCGACCAGCCACTCCATGAGAGAGAAAGATGAGACAGTCTGTTTCAGTAAAGATTTACAGCCCTGGAAACCTTATGGGGCATGTTCCAGTTACCTAGTGCCACTCTGACAAGAATATACCACAAATGGGATGGCCTTAACAACAGGAGTTTATTCGCATACAGTTTGGAGGCTTTAAGTTCAAGTTCAAAGTACTAGGCTCTAGGGGCTCGGTGAAAGCCCCTCAACCTTGGGATTTAGTGCCACCTCCTGCTCCTGGCACACAGAAGCTAGAGGCTTTTCTTCACTCAGACAGCTGCTGACTGCTGAGGCTGCCAAGCCCAAGGTTAACAAGTAAAAAGGCACAGTCCCCATGTTACCAAACCACACGGCAGGCCATTAACTCAAGTCCACTGTAAGTCTCAGCATCGGCAGAGTGTGGCAGGCTGCTGAACAACAACACAGCTACATGCAGGGTCCAAGCATGCCACAAGCTAGAGACCATTCCCCAAGGCTTCTGCTTATATACAGGCAGCAGACCACATTCCCAAAGGCAGCTACTCAGCTCTCACAGTAGATTCCACCATGCAGTTGATTCCCAGTCTCATCATGGGGAATATGCCCAGCCACTCAACCAGGCCTAGCCAAGGTGACACACAAACTGAACTACCACAGGGCACTTCTACCATGTTTTATAGGGTTGCTGTGAGTTGGAATCAACTCTATAGCAGTGGGATTTGATTTTTTAAATGAGTCCCTAGGAGCCCTGGTGATGCAGTAGTTAAGCACTTAGCTGCTACCACAAGGTTGGCGGTTGGAACACACTAGCTGCACCACTCCATGGGAGAAAGATGTAGCAATTTGCTTGTAAAGATTACAGCCTTGGAAATCCTATGGGTCAGTTCTACCCTGTCCTATAGGACCACTATGAGTTGGAATCGACTCAACAGCAACAAGGTTGGGTTTTTTTTGTTTTGTTTTAATGAGTCCCTGGGTGGCATAAATGGTTAAGAACTCAGCTACTAAACAGAAAGGTTTGCAATTTGACTCCATCCAAGGGAGCCTGGGAAGAAAGGCCTGACAACCTACACACAAAAACTCTATGGAACACAGTTATTCCTGAACACACAGGGTCATCAAGAGTCAGAATCAATTCAACAGCAACTGGTTTAATGAACTAACAGATATAAGGGCAGCAGTAATTGCCAGTGGCTGCCAAAACCATTTGATGAAAAACTTGATCATTATAGATGATCAGTATGGCATCTCTTGAACCCACAAATCACTCTTCATAACACAAAAAGACAGCCAGGTATTACACACCTCCTGACATGATGCCATACAACATCACTTATGAAGCATTCTTACTAAAAAGTAAAGGCCAAATACAATCAAGGTTCTAGATCTAACTAAAAGGAACAAGCTAAACATTACAAGGCTACAATCAGGAAAATCCACAATGCAAAAAACTATAGGACAAATGACCTGGTGTCTTCAACAAATTAATTTGCAAGGGAAACGAGATAAGGGGAACATATAGCTCTATCGGAGTGCAGTGGTGGTTCAATGGTAGAAGTCTCACCTTCCATGTGGGAAATCAGATATGCTTCCTGGCCAAGGCACCTCAAGTGCAGCCATGATCTGTCCATCAGTGGAGGCTTGCACGTTACTATGATGCTGAACAGTTTCAGCAGAGGTTCCAGACTTAGACCAGGAAGAATGGCCTGGCGATCTATTTCCAAAAATTAGCCAATGAAATCCCTGTGGATCACAACAGTCCTATCTCATTGTGCAAGGGGGCACCATGAGTCAGAGGCCAAGTCAATAGCAGCTAACAACAACAACAGCACAGCTGTATCAACAAAATGCAATGCACCAAGCTTATCTGGACCATGATTATAAATTTTTTTAAATAATGAAATGGAGAAATCTGAGTATTTTTTATTTGAAGATTTTAAAGAATTCATATTAAATGTTTTAGGTGTGATGACAACATTGTGGTTTTATTTCCTAAAATGTTAGAGATACATACTGAAAAATTTACAATTGAAATGATACAATGTCTAGAAATTTTTTCAAATAAATAAACTGAGGGAGAGGCAGTAGGAAAAACTGGGAGTATACAGAAATAACAAGATTGGCCATTTGTTAATAACTGTTAGAGGTGGGTAAAGGACATACGGCAGTTTATTATATTATTCTCTCTAATGTATCTTTGAAATTTTCAATAATGTTTTTAAAAGACATTTTAAAATGGGGAATGCTCTATGCTACACATGAGAGTAAGATAATCTGTTTGCAAACAGAAGAAAGTCCATGGAGGTAAGGTATCTTAATTAATTCATTTTATTGTATTTAATGACATTGCATAATTAGAAATCCTTGTTTATGATTTTAGAGTGGATAATATAAAAGAGGTTGGTAAATATTTCCTGTAAAGGACCAGATAATATATACTAAATATTAGCTTTTGCAAGCCATAGTCTCTATTGCAACTATTCAGCTCTGGTGGCATAGTACCTAAGGTATTTGACAGCTAACCAGAAAGCTGGCGGCTCAAACCCACCAGCCACTCCTCGAAGGAAGGTTGGACAATCTACTTCCATAGTGATACTGCCTCGGAAACCCAAGGAGGGGTCGCTATGAGTCGGATCTAACTTCACGACAGTGAGTTTGGTTTTTCTTTTTTATTATAGTATGAAAGCAGCCACAGACAACAAGTAAATGAACAAACATGCCTGTGTTTCAATAAAACTTTGTAATTATAGACACTGTAATCTGAATTTAATATAAATTCCACATTTCAAAAGATATTTTTCCTATGTTTTTTTTTTAACCATTTAAATATATTTTCAAAACATTCTTAGCTTGCAGGTCAAAAATAGGCAGTGGGCTGGAAATGACCCATGAGCTGCAGTCTGCCAACTCCTGATATAAATAGTTTTATGAGTTTATAATTTTATAAGCAACTCAACTGCAATTAAGGATCATACTTCAGGGGAGAGTTTTTTTGTTATTCTGCTACAGAAACTTACCTTAGAACTAGAAGCATTTAACATGGTAGCTGAAATTCCTAATTGTTGCAAAACCATTAATTGGTCTTCCATAAGAGAGATCAATGGACAAATCACAAGTGTAAAGCCTAAAGGAAACAAAAATCTACTTTAAGTGGTACGTCATCATCAGGAGCTGCCACCATACAACTTCTTTACCATAACCTGTAGGCAGCACCCATCAGTTCAGACTAATTTTCATTGCAACCTTAACAATATTTCTAACCCTCATTAATAAAGAAAGTAGATAAGAATAAATGGTCACAGAAGGTTAATATTAACCAAATAAACAAATATAAGACTAAATATAAGTTTCTTCCCTTATTCATTTTCTATAAAAATGAAGACAGGTACTAACATGTTGAATGTTTAATTTGCTATCATTTTTAACCATCAGTATTGGTAACCTCAGTAAAATAAAATCAGGTCAAAGAATATATAGTTGCATTAAGGAAAAATTATCCCCAAGTTCTCCAAAGAAAGCAAAGTAACCTACATATTTAAGAATGACAGCTGCATGAGTATTCTTCCACTTATTATACCATATTAATTTATTTCTGAGCTGAAATCAGTAAATAGTTAACTGACTGAAGTAAGTTCTGGTAATATACCCCTTTCTCTTATGAAAGAAATTGTTCAAAACTACAAAAGTTATTCTACATTATTAAAAACATATGACCATGCAATTCTATAGTTTGTTCTTTACAATATCTCTGGTGGGGGCCAAACGCAAACTCATTGTCCTAGAGGCGATTCTGACTGATAGCAACCACATAGGACAGCATAGAACGCACCCATAGGGTTTCCAAGGCTCTAATCTTTATGGAAACACACTACCCCATCTTTGTCCTGCAGAGCAGCTAGTAGGTTCAAACTGCTGACTTTTGAGGTTGGCAGCCAAGCGTTCTAATCATGGTTCAACCAGGGCTCAGGGGTGGGGTGGGGTACCTTTAAATAAACATACTTAGATTAAGACCTTATCAGTGATTTCACCCTCTCAGTTATTCTCTTTCCCGTATTTTCCACCTTCTTTATTACTGGTCCTTAAATGTGATCCAATCTGACTCATCTTTGGAAAATCCATAGTTATGGCTCTCTTCTTCCCTTCATAGCCACACATACCCACACTCAGTGTCCCACACCATCTTTCTAAGCTTTCTCTCTTAGATTCACTCTTTAAACTCAATGGATGTCTTACATTGCTGTTGTGCACCATTGCAACTGTACAGGACAGAGCAGAATTGCTCCACAATGTTTCCTAAACTATAATCTTTATGAGAGCAGGTTGCCAGGTCTTTCTCCGGAGGAGCTGCAGGTGGTTCAAACTGCCAATCTCTATGTTAGCAGCCAAGCACTTAACCATCGTTCTACCATGTTGTTGCTGTTAGGTGCCACTGAGTCGCCTCCAACTCACAGCAAACCTATGCACAATAGAACGTGCCAGCCTCACTATCCTTGCTATAGCTGAGCCCATCATTGCAGCCACTGTGCCAATCCATCTTGTTGAGGGTCTTCCCCTTTCTCCTCAATCCTCCACTTTACCAAGCATGATATCCTTCTCCAGAGAATGGTCCCTTCTGACAACATGACCAAAGTGGATGAGACAAAGTCTGGCCACTCTCACTTCCAAGAAGCATTCCAGCTGCACTTCTTCCAGGACAGATTTGTTAGTTCTTTTAGCAGTCCATGGTGCTTTCAGTATTCTTTGCCAACACCACAACTCAAAAGCATCAACTCTTCTGCAGTCTTCCTTATTCACTGTCCAGCTCTCACATGCACATGAGGAGGTTGAAAATACCATGGATTGGTTAGCTGCATCTTAGTTTTCAAGGAGATATCTTTGCTCTTGAGCACTTGAAAGAGGTCTTTTGCAGCAGATTTGCCCAATGCAATAAGTCTTCTGATGTCCTGACTGCTGCTTCCATTGATGTTGATGTAGAACCAAGTAATATGAAGACTCTGACAACTTCAATCTTTTCTCCATTTATCATGATGCTGCTTATTGGTCTAATTGTGAGGATTTTTGTTTTCTTTATATTGAGGTGTAATTCATACTATAGACTGTGGTCTTCAATCTTCATCAGTAAGTGCTTTAAGTCATCCTCACTTTCAGCAAGCAAAGGTAGGTTGTCTGTGTATCACAGGTTGTTAATGAGTCTTCCTCCAATCCTGATGCCATGTTCTTCTTCATATAATCAAGCTTTTCGGATTATTTGCTCAGCATACAGATTGAATAGGTATGGTGAAAGGATACAACTCTGACACACTTCCTACCTAATGGATACAACCCTGACACACTTCCTACCTAATTTTAAACCATGCAGTATCCCCTTGTTCTGTCCAAATGACAGCCTCCTGGTCATGCACAGGTTCCTCATGAGTGCAATTAAGTGTTCTGGAATTCACATTCTCCTCAATGTTATCCATAATTTGTTATGATCCACAAAATCAAATGCTTCTGTATAGTCAATAATACACAAGCAAACATCTTTCTGGTATTCTTTACTTTCAGCCAGGATCCATCTGACATCAGCAATGATATCCCTCATTCCACATCCTCTTCTGAATCCAGCTTGCATTTCTGGAAGTTCTCTGTCAATATACTACTGCAATTATTTTTTAATTATCTTCAGTAAGATTTTACTTGCATGTGATATTGATGATATTGTTCAATAATTTCCACATTCTGTGGATCACCTTTCTTTGGAATGGGTACAAATATGGATCTCTTCCAGTCACTTGTCTTCCAAATCTCTTGGCATAGCTGAGTGAGTGCCTCCAGTGCAGCATCCATTTGTCGAAACATCTCAATGGGTACTCCATCAATTCCTGGAGCCTTGTTCTTCATCAATTCCTTCAGAGCAGCTTCAGCTTCTTCCTTTAATACCACTGGTTCTTGATCACATACCACCTCTTGAAATGGGTGAACATCTACCAATCTTTTTGGAAGAGTGACTCTATATTCCTTTCATCTTCTTTTGATGTTTCCTGTATCATTCATTATTTTGCCCATAGAACCTTTCAGTACTGCAACTTGAAGCTTGAGTTTTATCTTCAGTTCTTTCAGCATGAGAAATGCCAAGCATGTTCTTCCCTTTTGGTTTCCTAATTCCAGGCCTTTGCACATTTCATTATAATAACTGGCTTTGTCTTCTTGAGCTGCTCTTTGAAATCTTCTGTTCAGGTCTTTTATCTTTTCATTTCTTCCATTTGCTTTAGGTACTCTCTGTTCAAGCACAAGTTTCATAGTCTCTTCTGACATCCATTTTGGTCTTTTCTTTCTTTCCTATCTTTTTAGTGACCTTTTGCTTTCTTCATGGATGATGTTACTGATGTCATCCCACAATTCCTCTGGTTTTCAGTCACTGGTGTTCAGTGCATCAAACCTATTCTTTAGATGGTCTCTAAATTCAGGAGGAGTATAATCAAGTTTCTATTTTGGCTCTCGTGGACTTCTATTGTCTTCAGCTTCAACTTAAACTTGCAGATGAGCAGTTGATGGTCTGTTCCACAATCAGCTCCTGGCCTTGTTTTGGCTGAAGATATTGAGCTTTTCCATCACCTCTTGCCACAGATGTAGTCAATCTGATTCCTGTGTACTCCATCTGGTGAAGTCCATGTGTATAGCCACCATATGTGTTGTTGAAAAAAGGTATTTGCAATGAGTAACTTGTCTTGCAAAATTCTATCATGCAATCTCCAGCATTATTTCTATCACCAACATCATTATTTTCAACTATCAGTGATTCTTCATTTCCAACTTTTGCATTCCAATCACCAGTGATAATTAACACATCCTGATTCCATGTTCGGTCAGTTTCAGACTGCAGAAGTTGGTAAAAATCTTCAATTGCCTCATCTTTGGCTTTCGTGTTTGGTGCATAAATTTAAGTAACAGTAGTATTAACTGGTCTTTCTTGTAGGCATATGGGTATTATCCTAACACTGATAGCACTGTACTTCAGGACAGACCTTGAAACATTCTTTGCGACGATGAACGCCACACCATTCCTCTTCAATTTGTAATTCCCGGTATAGTAAATCATATGGTTGTCTGATTCAAAATGGCCAAAACCAGTCCATTTCGGCTCCCTTATGCCTAGGATATTGATCTTTATGCATTTCATTTCATTTTTGACAAATTCCAATTTTCCCAGATTCATACTTAGTACATTCTATGTTCTGATTATTAATAGATATTTGCAGCTTTTTTTTTTTTTCTCATTTTGAGTCATGCCACGTCAGCAAGTGGAGGTCCCAAAAGTTTTACTCCATTCTCTTCATTAAGGTCAGCCCTACTCTGAGGAGGCAGCTCTTCCCCAGTCATATTTTGAGTGCCCTCTGACCTGAGGGGCTCATCTTCTGGCACTATATTGGACAATGTTACAGGGCCACTTACAAAGTTTTACAGTAATATATCAGACAGTGTTTCACTGCTATTCATAAGGTTTTCACTGGCCAATTCTTTGAGAAGTGAACGGCTTCTTCCTTCTTCAGAGTCTGTCTTAGTCTGGAATCTGCTGAAACCTATCCAGCATGGGTAACCCTGCTAGCATTTGAAACACTGGTGGCATAGCCTTCAGCCTCACAGCAACACATAAGCCACCAGAGTAGGACAAACTGACAAACAAGTCTGTCCCCCTTAGCTGTTCCAAACTGCTCTGCTCACTTCCTGGTCTCCCTCAGCTGCTCTGAACAGCTGCCCGCCCTACTTCCTGGTCTGTCTCCTCCCTCAAGCTGCTCCAAACCACACTGCTACCATCCCCGGCCAGCTTCCTGGTCTACCATGGCCATCTTATTCTACCATGGGCATCTTAAATTTCACATGTCCCAAACTGAATTCATCAACTTTCATCTTCCCCATTCCCAAATAATGTCTTTCTCTAGTGTACCCTAGTTCAGTAAACAATCTCATTATTTGCACAAACCTGAAATTTCTCCTTTCTCCCACATCCAATCAATACCGAGTCCTATGAAATCTATCTTCTAAACATTTCTGAAATCCTTCCCTCTGCTGAAACTACCCTTCTAAACACAAACATGACAAGGTCTCTTACTTGTATAAAAAAACCATTCAATGGCTTACCACTAATCTAAGGAAATGTTTTAAAAATAGTTTTAAAGGCTCTTCCACATTTCTCATCACTGCCTGCTACACTAAAATTCTTCCAGGTTATTGAGTGCACTATACCATAGCAACAACAATATACCATGCATGTTCTCTCTTACACTGGGGCTCTCACATGCTGTTCCCCTGCATAAACACTCTTCTTTCCTTCTCCCTTTTGCCTACTCATCTCTTAGTTTTCAGCTCAGTAGCATTCCCTGATACCTCTATGTCACATCATCACACTGACTTTTAATTCTCTATTAAAATCTTTATCCCAAAACCATTGTTGTAAATGCTTGCAATTATGTGTATTTTCTAGATAAAAGCAGAAAACTAAAGGCCAGCTCCCTGCTTGTATACATAAACTTTTACTGGAACCCAGCCACACTCATTCATTCACATTCTCCCTACAGTGCTTCATGATTTAATGCCAGAGTTGAACAGTTGCCAGAGACCATAAGGACCACAAAGCCTACAGTATTTACTATCTGGCCCTTTAAGAAAAAAGTTTGCTGACTTTTGCTCTTTGTTGTTGTTGTCAGCTGTCATCAAGTGAATTCTGACTCATGGCAACCCCATGTGTGCAATATAGAACCAACCACCACTGAGATTTCAGACTATGACTTTCAGAAGCAGATAGCCAGGCCTGTTTTCTGAGGTGCCCCAGGTGGGTTTGAGCCACTAATCTTTTGGCCAGCAGTAGAGCACTTAACTATTTACAGTACCCAGGAACTCTGACCTCTGCTCCTTACCCTTACTACTCTCAACCAGCAAAATCCTTATTTCCTGGGAGTTTGTTAGAAATGCAGAATCTTGAGTCTCAAACCAGACTCAGATCTCACACTAAATCAGAATCAGCATGTTAATAGGATCCCCTGGGAATTATTATGCACACAAAAGTTTGGGAAAGCATCGTTGGACACTATGAACTCTGTGAAAACTTGGACTGTGCCCCTCTTGTTCACACAGCAGATACTCAATAAAAACCTAGGATTAGAGTCTACATCTATTGAACCCTTTTGCCAGTGCGTTTTGCCCTTCAATATATTTTTTAATTATGTTTCAGACAAAAAAGATTACTCTCAGAAGTTTTCACTGTATCCCTTTTATATGAACCCTTCCAACGTACACTGATTTAGAGATGAATGAAACAACAAAACTGTACTTGGTCTTTACATCTATGCCTTGATATTATTTTTTTTCAAATGCTTAAAAATATATCAAGAGAAATGGCATTTCTTCAACTTAATCTTTATTAATACATACCATCTGAACATAATGCTGGTAACTGATAGCATAAGCTCTTTCCACCTCCTGTAGGCATAACAAGGAATACCTCCTTTCCAGCCATTGTTACGTTAATAGTTTCAAGCTGAAGTGGTCTGAACATCTGGAGTTTAAAGACATTTTGCAAAACATCTTTAACCTTATCAGACCATGGAAAATCTAAAAAAAGAAAAATAAGGTTAAATTATTAGAACTATTAGGATTATAAATGAAACACAAATTTAAATGGCCAGTTTCATAATAAAGAATCAGATAAATAGAACTCACCAGGCTAAGCAAAGCAAAACCAAATTAAATGATCTATTTTAAGAAATATTACATGAGAAAAAATGAAACTGTTTGCCTGTGGAGGGTTAACCACACAGAAGATGGTGTTTGGTAAGGTATTTGTAAAACAGTGTAAGTGTTCATCAGAGACATCATAGTATCATTAAAAACTCAAATACCAAGAAAAAGGTTAGCAATTGTGTGAAAATGTTAATGTAAATTGTGCTTAGAAGCAAATCACTAGAAAACAACGCCTCCAAAAAACCCCTCCAGAATTCTTTTTAGAGCTCTGGTATTCTAATTAATAATGAAAATGAGGTTCAGCAAGATCTTGAGTCAAGAAATGGTTTGGTCACTAGGCCAGGAAAATGAACTAGGTTTTGGCAAAAGTTTGAATAACTTTTTTTTTATTTGTTTACTTTTTTTTTAAAGTTAAAACTTAGAAAATTTTGTTAAACTAAATACATTATTTTCCAAGCACTGATTAATGTTGCTAGAATCACATTTGGAAATAATCACAACGTCTGAGTTCAAGCTGAATTCAAAAAGACTACAAAAGTAAGTAAAGATGGACTGCTTCCAAGATTCTCATTCCACCCAAGGAATGACAAGCTTCACTGCTAAGCATAATGGAAAACACCAACCCATAAGAATAATGTAATTCTAGACTATGGCCCCTAGCTGCCCTTCAGGTCCGGAACTGAACCCACTCCTGTGGCTTCCAGCCAAACAAAAGATAGGCATTATCTTTTGATAATGTTGAACATTTACATTAGGTAGATATACTCCCTGGAGAGATCAATCATGGGAGAACAGAAGGGCTGTGTACACATAGAGAGACAGCTCCCAGGGCAGGAGTGCATTGGAGGGAAGGACACAGGGAAGAGGTAACTAAGGGGAGGAAGTGGGAAGAGAGATGTTGCACTGTGGCAAACTGCAGTCAAGGTCAGACAAGGTATATGTGAAATGTTGAATGGAAAAGAATTTGCTCTGTCAATTTTCTCCCAAATCACAATACAAATTAAAAAAAAAAAAGAATGTAACTCTAGCTTAGAGAACTTGGAAGAGGAGGGAAGGGGGAAATTAAAAAAAAAAAAAAAACCCTAGCAAAGAAATAAAAATGAGTAAACCTTCTTTATTCCAAGCATCAGGGGAAGAATCACAATCATTGCTTGCTCCAGCAGCAGAATCCTCTAAACACTGTTTTATTTTCTTTGTTAGGATTGTCTTTTTCTTTGTAAGTTCTTGTTGCCTTTCCACAAGTTCTTGAATTTGAATGTCTATTGCATGTAGCTCACTGGTTACAGACTCCAGTTCCTCAGTTAGTGCTATGAGTGGGATAAAAAGATAAAATGATTAAATAAACTAAAATTACAATTTTAAGTTTCTTTATTGATTTCTGGATGTTCCTCACTATTTAAATTACAGGTAGATTTTAAATAATATAGAAGAGTGATTAAGAGCACAGGTTTCGGAGTCATACAGACCTGGGTTAAATCTCCGGTCGCCCTCCTCCCGAATGACTCAATTTCTACATCTATAAAATGGGGAAAATACCTAACTTTCATAGTATTGTCAAAGAATTAAATAAGAGAACATTGAAAGTTCTTGCCACAGTACCTGGTATACAGTAAAACATCTAATAAATGATTAAAAAAAAAAAAAAAATCCCTACTACCATCTCGATTCCGGCTCATAGTGACCCCCATTGGGTTTCTCAGGCAATAAATCTTTTCAGTAGTAGATTGCCCTGTCTTCCTTCTGTGAAGTAGCTGGTGGGTTTGAAGTGCTAACCTTCTGATTAGCAGTCAAATGCCTTAGGCACTGCACCACCAGAGCTCCTTAATTTTTTATTATGTTAAGATAGAGAAGTGTTCCAACAGTATCCTATATCATGTAAGTGATCAGTCTCTAAAGCAAAAGGAAGCTACTTAACAGTAACCTTCTAATTACTTAACCATTGTTTCAAGAAAATGTATTTGTTGGCATGATAAGTTGATAATTATACATAAGATAATGTAATAAGTAAAAAGAGAAGTGTACTGTTGGAATTGGCACTACAACCTCATCAAATGAATTTATAAAGAGGCATCCATGTATCAATCTCAGTATTAAAAGAAGCTCAAATGTATATGATTCTAACCAATTGAAGTATTAAAAGTCAAAGTGACATTCCTTTTGGCACATCAGTGGAAGCTTAAAAATTTGAAAGATGTCCTGGTGCTTTCTAAATTATCTGCCTGCAGTAATCAGTACCCAGTTTTAAACTCTCTTCATAAGATGAAATCTCGTGGCTATGATTTAATAGGTGGTGATGGTGGCTTTGTATTATACCAACTGCGAGAATTCCCTTCTCTGCATAAGTCTGTATGAGATTTGGGGAAAAAAAAAAAAAAAAAAGTTGCCCTCGAGCTGATTCAACTCATGGTGACCTCATGTGGTCAGAGTAGAACTATCTTCCACAGGCTCTTCAGTACTTGCTTTTTCAGAAGCAGATCACCAGGCCTTTCTTCTGAGGTGCTGCTAGGCAGACTCAAATCTCCAACCTTTTGCTTAGCAGCCAAGCACTTTAATAGTTTTACCACCCAGGACCTCTAAGGGACCTCTCAGTGGAAAGCCTAGTCAGTCTTGAAGATAGTTATCTACAGAGGATGGCACAGCTTTGCTTCCTAATGGTCTCTGCTGTGAATCATCTATAGGGCCAAAAGCAGCAGATAACATCCCTATTTGTCAGAGACATTCCAAACACCATTCAACCTGTTAGGTCCAATGGCTCATAGCTTTGGTGACATGGGAGTGTCTGCTGGATTCTCACCAGCATAAATACTTACTCTGGATATGGATTTGCCTTCCCTGACTGCCATCCATCTATCAAATCCAATATCCATAAACTTACAGAATGCTTTATTGACCATCATGGTATTCCACACAAAATTGTTCCTGATCAGAAAACTCAGTTGTAAGCAAATAAAGTTCAAAAGAAGCTCATGTGCAAGGAATGAATTGGTCTAACCATGTTTCCCATCATTCTGAAACAGATGGCCTGATAACATAATAGAATGATATTTTGAAGACTCAACAGTGGTACCAGTTGGTTGGCAAGAAATTAAGGACTGAGGTAGTATCTTCCAGGATATAGAATATACTATAAATCCATGACTAGTGCTGTTTCTTCAATAGCCTAGATACTGGGACTGACAATCCACAAATGGAAATGAGAGTGTTCCCCTCTCATTTTACTAGTAAGTCACTAGTAAAATTTTTGTTTCCTATTCCAGTAACTTTGGGCTCTGCTGGTCTAGAGGTCTTAGTTACCAAGGAAGAAATAATGCTTCTATCAGGGGACAAAGCAATAGCTCCTTTAAACTGGAAGCTGAGATTGCCAGCAGACCACTTTGGGCTCCGCATGTCAGTAAATCAGTTCCTCATGCCAGTAAAGCAACAGTCAAAGAAGGGAGTCACTGTACTGCCTCAGGTGAGCAACCCTGACTATTAAGGAGAAATTGGAGGAATATATCTGGAATATAGGCAATCCTTTAGAGCATCTCTTAGTACAGTCACTTTCTGTGATTAAAGTCAATGGAAAAGTATAACAACCAAATACAGGCAGAACTGCTATTGGCCCAGGTCCTTCAGTAATAAAGGGTTGGGTGACCCCACCAAGAACGTGCTAAAGTGCATACTAAGGACAAATGAATGTGAACCAGGTAGTTATAAATATTAGCTGTGACCACATGACCAGATGCAGAAATAAGAACTGTAATAGCTATGAGCATTTATTCCTTACTTTGATACTTGTATATAGATTAGCCAATGTTTTTTATCTTGTTTTTTGTTTTGGGGGGGGGATTTTGGTCCCCTATTCTAATTCCCTATTATCTAATAAAATAGGACACATTAATATTAGCTGATTTGGTTACCTAGTGCTGCTCTGACAGGAATATGCCACAAATGGGTGGCTTTAACAAACAGGATTTTATTCTCTTACACTTTTGGAAACTAGAAGTCCAAGTTCAAACTGCCGGGTTCTAGGGGCTGGGTGAAAGCCCCTCAACCTTGAGTTTCAGCTCTGCCTCCCGCTCCTGTCCCACTGAAGCTGGTGGCTTTTCTTCACTCAGGCAGCTACTAGCTGCTAAGGCTGACAAACCCGAGGTCAACAAGTAAAAAGGCACAGTCTCAATATCATCAAACAACATGCAGGCCACTAATTCAGATCCAGAAAAAGTCCCAAGGCTGGCAGGGCATGGCAGGCTGCTGAACAATGTCTTGGCTACATACAGGGTCCAAGTGTGCCAAAAAGCTAGAGACCTTTCTCAAAGGTGTTTCTTATATACCAGAAGCAGCCCACATCCCTAAAGAAGCTACTCAGCTGCTCTAGTAGATTCTACCATGGAACTGACTGGCAATCTTACCATGGGGAATAACTATATCCAGTTGCCCAGGCACTCAACCAGGTGCTGCCAAGTTGACAACAACCTTAACTAACACAATAGCCAATGCCATATCTCAGTATTTAAGTTACACAGTTATCAAGGAGGATGTGGTTCAACAAGAAGAGGAATGAGTATCAGCCAAAGATGAAGATAATTTGTAAACTTTTTGAGGAAGAGGGACAGTGTATATTTGGTTGTACACAGGACAGCTGCATCACATGAAGCAAAAGCATGATTTTGCTACTGACTTTATGTGGAAGTTAGGAATGGTTAAAAGAAGAGTGCACGGGTGCAAAGTAGGTAAGGGGCAGACTCTGGTGACCTTTTGTTGTGGTAACTTAGCTAAGTAAAATTACATTTCCTAGAATTTTCTTCCCTGCATGATTCTAGGCTAGAGCTGCACAAGAGAACTTTGCCAGGGAGTTGGAAGGCAGAAGTAAAGCAGTATCAGGTTTTCCTTACTTAAGAAAAGTGCAATGTCAGTCAATTGGCTTCCCTGCTGGCATGAAAACTCCAACTCCTGCTAGATAGTCTTGGAACAGCAGCTAGACCTGCAGCTAGCTCCTCTAGACCCTATCAGTTTTCCTCCTTTAACTTCTCTGAAGCCTCAGCCAGGTTTGTTAGCAACTTCATAGAGAAGTGTGCCAGCTCTCTACCAGGTCACCTGCATCTTCTATGTTGGAAACTTTGAAGCAAGGAGAGACTGATACAGAAGTTTGTCCTCATGGATTACTGTCTGCATTTCACATCAATCTTCTCTCCCCAACTGGTGGCTCTGCTGACTTCAGGCCTAGCACTAGACACAGGAGCAATATATATGTACGTACATATATATGTATATGTATGTGGGTATACAAATACACACAGTACTTAAACCACTTCTTATAAACAGAAGGTCTAATCTCTATAATAAATCCCTTATATCATTCATAGTGGTTCTGCTTCACTAATCACACTCTATCTCGTACAGACATTAATGGCATCTGTTCTGGAAATGCAATATCATCAAATCTTAGATAAAATCTTAATGGACTAAGACTAGAAGTACAGCTAGTTGCAAGAAATCAGAGTATTTTAATATAGTTGTTTAAAATTATACTATCTCTAATGCTGGCCTGTATAACACAAGACTTTTACTATAGGAGGTGAGATAATAAAATCAGTACCTAAGCCACAGAGGAAAGGGACTATAAGTGCAAGGGGCTTATTACCGCTACTATACCTGAAGAGCACGTTGAACTGATTAAGGATCACACTCAATCAGTACCAACACACGGGAAGTACCACCCTTCAGAAACTGCACTATTTCTACAATATCCCAAACTGAAACGACCAATGGAAGGAAAGTGATCTGCCACCATGGAAGCCATCAAATCCAAAGCAACAAACTATTTGAGGGCAATTTCAAAAAGGTATTTCAAACATAGTGCAACAAGTGTGTAGAACAATAGAGCAAGTGAAGCTACTTGAAAGGGATTCAACATTTTGAAGCAACTGGTCAAAGTGAAAGGAGCCTGGGTGACACAAGTGGTGGCACAGAAAGACTGCTGGTTCAAATCCACCCAGTGGCTCTTTGGAAGAAAATGCCTAGTGGTCTGCTTCTATAACAGTCAAGAAAACCATAACTCTGTAACACATGGGATCACCACGAGTCAGGAGTCAACTCAGTGGCAGTTCACAGCAACAATCAAAGTACCTACTCGTTCTTAAATAAAATTTATCTATGTCATTATATGCTCATTTTTAAATCGTATCCCACTGATGAAGCTTGATGTCTTGTTAAATGGAATAACTTAAATCTGAAAATGACCACGTTGGTCTGTTAAGTTCAGTTACATCTCTTAAATACTTTTTTGTCTCTTAAGTAAAATTAACTTTAGTCAGTATTTAATAGAATTAAAATTGTTACCAATTACTATTAACCCTCAGGTTGTGAGAACGAGCCATGAGATGGCTAAAACCATCTGTATTTCCACTATGTATTCATATTTACGGAGTCAGTGGTTGGCATAAATGGTTAAGCACTTGACTACCGGCTCAAAAGTCAGCAGTTAGAACCTACTCAGAGGTGCCTTGAAAGACAGGCCTGGTGATCTGCCTGAGGAGCAGTTCTACTCTGCACACATGGGGTGCTGCCATGAACTGGAATGACTCACAGTAATTACTTACAACAAAATTCAAATTTATATTTAAATAAACTATAAAGTTCTGTGTGTGAGGTTGGCCAGATTTAAGAAAAACCATTTCTTTCAAATTTGAAAACAACTCAATCTTGTTAAAGCGCTAACACTACCATCAAGTTGATTCTGTTCATAGCAGCCTACAGAACAGAGTAGCACTGCCCCATAAGGTTTCTAATGCTGTAAATCTTTACAGAATCAAACTGCCTCATCTTTCTTCCTTAGAGTCCCTGGTAGGTTTGAACAACCAACCTTTTGGTTAGCAAAATACTTTAACCATTGTGCCACCAGAGCTCCTTACACCCTACAAAGGCCTGAAAAAAGACCACAGTATGGTAAGTCTCCCACTTCTGGTATTCACCTCTTAATCAAACAGACAGCAGGATCTCACTAATAGGTATAGTACAATCTGGTCAAGTTTATAGAAACAAATAATAGATGAAAATGCTAAGAGTGGCTGCCTAGAAAAGGTGGCACAATTAATGGTTTTATCCTCTATGTTTTAAAAGATAACTTTAACTTCCTATGACTCCTCTTCCAGGAATTTAGTGTAAGGAAAAATCAGAGAACCATGCAAAGATTTAGATTCAGAGATGTTCAGTGAAGTATTATTTATGTTTTAAAAACGGAGATACAGTAGCCTAAAAGTTCAACATTGGAAAATTAAGCTAATAAATGTCACCTCAAAACAGAGCATAGTGTAGTGTAAATACAATTTATTTAACAATTAATCTATAATCTATGTTATGTTTATTGTTGTTGTTGTTGTTATATGCCATTGAGTTGGACCCGACTCATAGTGACCCCTCCTTGGGTTTTCGAGGCAGTATCACTACGGAAGTAGATTGCCCCATCTTCCTTCCGAGGAGTGGCTTGTGAGTTTGAACCGCCAGCCTTCTGGTTAGCAGTCAAGTGCCTTAGGCACTATAATACCCGAGTTATGATTATATCAAGCAGCAAAACAATATGCATAAAGTTATAAATATTAAAAAATAATACCTCTAAATATTAACAGTATTAATCTGAGTATGAGATTAGAAGTGATTTACATATTCTTCTTTCTACTTTCTTAGGCTTCCTATAATTAAATCCAAAAAATCATTCCTATAGTGACAATTTTAAAAACAAGCATTTTTTGAAAAGAACTACTTACTAGTAATAAAGCAGAACGAACCACAAAATGGAATCATTTCCACTAACCTGAAACGGCTGCCATTATAAACCTGGAGATCCAAATTTCCTTCTATAAATGAAAGAATATGTAAAACATTTAAATAAATAAATATAGTACTGTTGATAATTATCAATGATAATCTGTCATTATAAAGCACAAAAAAAAAATTAGAAAGCAAACTATATAGGGCAATAAGCTTTCAAATAAAGACTATATTATTTTTCACATACTAATTTTTATGGAAATTCTCTAGGTTTAGAAGTGTCCAAAGTCACATAAACATACACATGGCAAGTTCTATGTCTATAACTCTTACCAAACATCCACCAGATACAAAGTCATATAGGAAAAAGGACCAAAGATCTGAGGTTAAGCTGGCCAGTTCAATTTCAGTTCTAGCACTAAACCATTGTGTGGCCTTGGTAAAATTACTCACCCAGTTCCTCTACACCTCTTTTCCTACCTGTAAAATTAGGATTACAGAACTATCTTACAAATAACAAGTTGGAAAGATTCAAACATCCCCACATTAAGCAAAACCCCCATAATCAAATTAATTATATAACATTTTATTCAACACAACCTAAGTTAAAATTTAAACTCAATCTTAAATGATTAATTGGCATTTTATGGAGTGGTTAGATTTCAGAGGGAGAGAACACAGGAAAGTCTGGGAGGTAGGAAAAACATGGTTTGTATTCAAGAATTCCAACTACCTAAGAATGACAAACTTATAGTGCACATGGCAAGAGGAAGGTGATGAGGCTTCAGAGTGGGAACTTTAGAGTCCCTATGTTGTTGTTGTTAGGTGCCGTCAAATTGGCTCTGAGTCATAGCGACTTTACATACAACACAACGAAACACTGCTCGGTCCTATGCCACCCTCATAATCCCTGCTATACCTGAGCCCATGTTGCAGCCACTGTGTCAGTCCATCTCTTAGAGGGCCTTCCCCTTTTTCATCCATCCTCCACTTTACCAAGCATGACATCCTTCTCCAGAGAATGGTCCCTTCTGACAACATGACCAAAGTAGGTGAGACAAAGTCTGGCCATTCTCGTTTCCAAGGAGCATTCTGGCTACATTTCTTCCAGGACAGATTTGTTAACTCTTTTAGCAGTCCATGGTACTTTCAGTATTCTTCACCAACACCACAACTCAAAAGCATCAACTCTTCTTCAGTCTTCCTTATTCATTGTCCAGCTCTCACATGCATATGAGGCAATTGAAAATACCATTGTTTGGGTTAGACACACCTTAGTCTTCAAGGAGACATCTTTGCTCTTCAGCACTTGAAAGAGGTCTTTTGCAGCATATTTGTCTAATGCAATAGGTCTTCTGATGTCCTGACTGCTGCTGCTTTTGGTGTTGACTGCAGAACCAAGTAATATGAAGTCTTTGACAACTTCAGTCTTTTCTCCACTTACCATGATGCTGCTCATTGGTCCAGTTGAGAGGATTTTTGTTTTCTTTGTATCGAGGTGAATTCCAGGCTGCAGACTGTAGTCTTCAGTCTTCATCAGTAAGTGCTTCAAGTCACCATCACTTTCAGCAAGCAAAGTTGTGTCCTCTGCATATCACAAGTTGTTAATGAGTCTTCCTCCAATCCTGATGCCACGTTCTTCATATAGTCCAGCCTCTCCAATTATTTGCTCAGCATACAGATTGAATAGGTATGGTGAAAGGATACAAGAGTCCCCATAATTCCCACAAATACCTACTCCCAGCTCTGAATTAGACTCAACCCATTGCAGTCAAGTCTGTTCCTATAGGACAGAGTACAACTGCGGAAGGGTTTCCAAAGTAGTAAATATTTATGGAAGCAGATTGCCACGTTTCTCCTGCAGAGCATCTGGTGTGGTGGAACAGAGTGCTTTATCCACTCTGTCACTAGGGCTTCTCTGGTATGGACCATCAACATTTCATAAAACTTTGAATGCTTTCCAAAGGCAGCTTTATCATCCTACCCTTACCCAGACTGTTAGCCTTAAGCTATTCCTGCACAGAATTCTGAAGCTATCACCAGTTGGAAAAAGACAGGTTGGCTGTGTCTTCTATGAAGATTGGAAGCTCTGCTGGCGCAGTGGTTAAAGTATTTGGCTGCTAACCAACAGGCCAGGAGCTCTGGTAGCACAGTGGCTAAGACACTTGCCTGCTAACCAGACGGCGGTTCAAACCCACCAGCCACTCCTCGGAAGGAAGGTTGAGCAATCCTACTTCCGTAGTGATACTGCCTCGGAAACCCAAGGAGGGGTCGCTATGAGTCGGGCCGACTTGACGGCACATAACAATAACACCAACCAACAGGCCGGGGTTTATAACCCAGGAGCTGCTCAGAGGGAGAGGTTGAGGCACGTTGCTTCTGTTAAGATTTACAGCCTCGAAAATCCTGTGGGGCCGTTCTACTCTGTCCTATGGGTCGCTCCGGGTGGAATCCACTCCACTGCAACGGGATTGGTTTTAATAAACAGGCTTTGGTGCCCCAATTTCCTGAATAGAAAAGGGGGTTGAAATAAAAGGAGAACTGTAGGCAGGCGAATGTGCCCCCAAGTTCGATGAGGGCACACTGATGATTAACAACCTCGTTTCTCCCCGGTCAATGTGTTGGTTCAAGCGACCCGCGGCAGATCGGCTTTGCAGTTAGGCAGGAAAAGGAAAGATCAACGGAAGAAGACACACCCTTGTTGCTTCAAAGCCGTAAAAGGAATTACCCCAGAACATCTGTCCATAGGATTAATGGGGAACCCTCTAGCTGCCAGATCTCCAACCCCTAAAGGGTCCCGGCTTCGAGAACGCTACGCACCCTTTGATCCGCTCTGTTGTGAAATCTTCCCGCCACCGGGCTTTTCCTTCTGTCCAGCCCAGAGAATCCACCCTTCCGGGTCGGTTGTTCAACCAATCGCAAGTAACACCTTTCTTTAATTGGTCCAGGGGAGTAGCTGCCAAGTGCGTCACCAAACAAGACCACCGGCGATTGGGTTAAATTGGGAGCAGGTTTACCCAGTGAGAAGCGGTTTGAGAGCTAGGGTGGAGGTGGCTGCGTGTTTCCGGAAGACGTGGCGGCTTTCGCCTGGGCGGCTTCTCGGATTCATTTTTCTCTACTCTGCTTCACACCTCTCGCTCTCTCCCGGTGGTGCTGCCGTCGCATCTGCTCCCGCCGCTGTTCTCGCAACTGCAACCATGATCTCCTTAACCGATACCCAGAGTAAGCTTTGGCTCCGTGGCCACCACCTGCCCGGCCTGGAGTCCCCACACCCATCCGTCCGGCTGGATCTCTCTCGTCAGCTCCTCCGCGCGGGTCAATGAATGAAGTTGCGCGTTGGGGGCGGCGGGACCTAGAAAGCTGCCTTGCCTGGGAGGGAATTAGATTTGCTGCGGCCGACTTGGTCTGGAGGGAGAGGCGATGAGGTCGGGGGAGACGCCCAACCTGGGGAGGTGGAGCTTTAGCTGAGGGTTCCTCTCTCGAGCCCGGGTAGTGCCACGCTCTCACCCCAGGTGAGATGGACGCTTTGTTTCTGGGGTTGCCACTAGAGAAACTGCGTGGTGCCTGGGGCCCATTCTCAGAGACATTTCTCAATGTTATACACGAGGGATCCTCTATAAGTTGTTAGTTTGGGAGGTGGTATTTTAAATGTCACCTATTCTAGGTTATTTTTGGAAATGTGTTCACATTTGAATGGATATTCGCCTTTGCCACTGTTTAAAGCAGCCTTCCAAAACCCTTTGAAACAGTTTTTTTCTACCTGTTAATGTTTCAACAGTAGAAAAAGCAGTACTTTAAACAGTTTATGTTCGGTTAAAAGGATTCAGCCGTTAATGTTGAATATCGTGCTTTGTAGCATTTTTTTTTATTGTTATTTTAGCATTCCTTTCTGCCTGCCACAAGGTTTTCCAGGCCTATGCCATCTCTCAGGTTAGCACTGCTTTCTGTTTCATCTTCTTTAGATGTACCATTTCCACTTTCCTATTTCTTCTTGTCAATCTTAATTTTTGTGCTTCCTTTTGATGGACATGATAGTCTCTTTTGGCCTCACTTTGCTTTATTTGCCACCCTTTCTTTTCTTGGTGTAGTTAACTTACTCAGATATTGAGGATTTAAGAATTAACAGTCTATTGAAGTGAAGATAGAACTTAATATTAAATACCCGTTTAGATTCAAGTCTTGGCTGACTTGAACTTCATAGAGCTTCTAATCAGGGCTTTGAAGAAGTTCATTACTCCTGTTCGACAGCCCGCTGAGAAACTGCATTTCTACCCCAGATATACTGAATTAGAATCTATATTTTAACAAGTTCCTAGTTAATTCTTATGTGTATATAACGAGAAGCCCGTTTCAGGTTTCCTTGCCTCTTGAAGTTGGACTGAGTCTGCACCTTGGGGCTGCCTGGCCCAGGAACTGTGTCCGTTTTTGTATATTACTCTCACTTGTTCTGGTCAGAGAAATACATATATATATGTATGCAGTGTCATAATAAAAACTAACAAGGATGTAAAGGTATCTTTTTTTCATTTTACGAAATGTTTTCATATAAATTATTGTACTTAATCCTTACAGGAGCCCTTCCAGGTAGATCGGAGTATACCCCTTTTACAAATTAAATGAGTCTCAAAAAGATTCTTTGTATGTTCATAAAGAGAATGATAGACTAGATCCTACTAGCCCAAAAACTTTTTCTTCTTTTCACTATATCACATCGGTATCTAAGAACACTTGATAAAAACTATGAGATCTTCCTTAGCAAAAATAGTTTCAACAGTAGATATTTATCTTCCAGAATTATGTATTTTTTGAGGGATTGTATGGGATTTCTTGATTGAAATACAAAATTAGAATTAAATTGACTAAGGAAATTAACAGAGCCATACACATAAATTGCTAGAATTTATTTCTAATCCCACTTCTTACTCAGAGCAAATCTTTAATCTGTAGATAGTTTTCCCATCTAACTGTATCCTCTTATCTAGTCTATAATTATTAAATGTTGTTGTTGTTGTGTTATGTGCCGTAGAGTCAGACCCGACTTATACGACCCCTCCTTGGGTTTCTGAGGTGGTATCACTACAGAAGTAGATTGCCCAACCTTCCTTCCGAGGAGTGGCTGGTGGGTTTGAACCAGTCAGCCTTCTGGTTAGCAGTCAGGTGCCTTAGGCACTATGCTACCAGAGCTCCCATAATAATTATTAAATAGATTTTTTAAAATGTGTTACTTCTCCTGTCTCTAGAGATTCTTTCTGTTGAAGACTTAACTATAGGGATAAGTGCCTGATTCCATTCTCCAAAAACCAGAACAAAGGGGCAGAGTTAGGTTATGAGCAGAATAGGAATCATTTTCCTCACTTCATTAAATTGGTGAGGAAGAGAAAATTTTACCCTTCACGGCTTACTTGCCAAATATAAGTGAGGTGAGAGTGGATTGAAACAAAATAATTAGTGAACCAAAAGCTTTTTATCTTTGAAACTGTGTGTGTGTGTGTGTGTGTGTACATGTACGCATGTACTACAGAATTTGGCCATCATTCCAAAGTGATTTGCCAGCCTTATTGTGCAATTCTGATTGTGGGAGAGGGTCACCAAACCTCAATGAGAGTAAAGAGTAAACAGCAATACTTGATTGTTTTAAGGGATTCTAAGAGAGCACATACATACACCCCTAGAAAACAAGATTTATTGAGGTGATTAGGAGGAGTTCTCAAGCTGCCTCTAAGTCTGAATTGCCTGAGACTACCAAGGCATTCGGGAGCTCTGGTAGCATAGTGGCTAAGACACTTGCCTGCTAACCAGACGGCTGGTGGTTCAAACCCACTAGCCACTCCTCGGAAGGAAGGTTGGGCAATCCTACTTCCGTAGTGATACTGCCTCGGAAACCCAAGGAGGGGTCGCTATGAGTCGGGGCCGACTCGACGGCACATAACAACAACAACAACAACAACCAAGGCATTCAATTAAGTTAAAAAGAATTATCTTTTTTTGCCCTCAATGTCTGCATTTTTTTTTTCTTGAAAGGCATATTAAGACAATGTTGTTTAATACTGCCTTTAAAAAAAAAATGTAAAGCGACGCTAAAATTGTAACTATGATTGCCCTTGCTAATGAGATGATTCTTAAAAAATTTACACAATGGACTTTCCACATTAAACTGATTAGTTTTATTAGATTGCTTTTTTCAGGTTAGTCTTTTTTGTTAATTCCTTATGAGCAGGAGAAATAACAATTTATTAGTGCATAAGTGGGAAGTAAATTTATTTCACTGTGTATGATTCTCTTAGGGACAGGTCAGCTCTACATAGGGCTTTGATAACCAGAGGGCTGTGAATTCATGAGGATAGAGAAGGGAATTCTGGAGATGAGAAACAGTCATATAAAGGTCCAGTTTGAGTCTTGTTCTGTTCAGGGCAGAAACTATTTGGCAAGCATCATGCCAGTGCCAGTTCTGGCCAAGATGTCACAGGAAGCTCTTTTCTTGCCAGACGACAGAGGATAAAGTAATAGGAATGTTTTGGTTCTGATGTTGTAGTTGTGAGACCATTAGCTGTGAAGTCCAAGACTGGATTCTAATTCTGGCCTGACTTACCACCACCACCACTACATACTTACTGGTTTTCTTACCAGCAACACATTACTTAATCTGAGTCTTTGGTTACCTATATAAAAACATGAGATGGTGCTACTTTTCACCTCCAATTTTGTTAAAAAATAAAAAATTGCAGGGTATTTGTAAAAATATTTCATTAAATATACAACATCAATGTATTCAGACATTGTTCTGTTTTACTAGTCAGTGTTTAATAGGTCTATTGGCATCTTCTTTGTTATATTTGCACAAAATAATAATATTAAATTCTGTCACCTAAAGAAACTTCCTTCAGAAGTTTATTACAGCCCAAAACCGTAAGTTGTACTAAAACAAATATATATTACCTGAAAAAAAGACCATATGGGAAGCATATGGCATGATGGTTAAATACAAGGGCTTTGGGCTCAAATGGACCTGAGTTCAAACTTCCTATGAATCTCAAATTCTCCAGCTCTAAAGTGATACAATGATACTTACCTTATAGGAGTATTGGGAAGATTAAGTTCAATTAGGTATGTAAAGCATCTCTTAATGCCTATATCATTGTAAGTTCACAGTACACATAATTTTGTTCTGATAAACAAAATCTCAAAATATTTATGTAATCATTAGGATAATTTGTGAAAAGATGGAGAAATTAGACATTCAAACAATTCCGGTTAAATCCAAACTAGGAAATAGTGATTAAATGGAATTTTACTGGCTCTTGTGCCCTTCTTTTCCTCCAATAAGTTAGCTCTGACACCTAAACTGAAAGTTTTCTTAAGCCATTTAGACATGTGTATGATTCATACATGTGTATGGAAGTGTCATCCTCAAATTTCCAAGGGAATTTTTATCTGTGGACTATACTTATTGGTGTACTTTAATTCTTCAAGGCTAACTTTGAAAGAAAGGAATGGCTATGATGGAAGACGGTAGCTATCTGTAAATTGAGGAAATGGGGGATATATAAAAAGGTAACATTAATAAAAATTTTCAAGTATACAGTCTGTTGGATATAGCTAAAGATTTTTTTAAGTAAATGTTAACCAAATTTTAGCTTTCTGGAGCTGAGGCAAAAAAGTTAAGTAACAGATCAAAAATCATAAATAGTGATTTAAAATTGTGTTTCTGAAAACATAGTGGCTTATGCTGTGACTCACTGTATGCCTCTAGGTAAAATAAGGATTGAGGACCATATCCTAAAAATAAAGCTAAAATGATCAAAGAAGTGACTCAGTGGATTATGTTGTGGCGTTAATAGAAGAGTACCACTGTTACCTTCAAAAATTAAGGTTCTTCAAAGTAAAAAGATAAGGTCTAGAGAATGAATGTAAAATTATTGATGTTACAGGGTAAGCATAGACTTCAAAGCTTACTCTTTGTCCACCACTGTATATCCAGCACTTGGGACAGTTGCTGGCATCTAGTGGTTTATCAGTTCTATTTTGGAATGAATGAATGAAGACCGCAAAGAATAATATTAGGTAAAAACAGTTTTCTTTGAAACTTCAGAGAGATGATTTCAGTACTCCTTAGACTAAGTATGTCAATGGACTCAAGCTTTGAATAAAGTAGTAGCAGATAAATCCATAAGTTGTCAAGAAGTTAAAAGCAGTATCTAACCTGAAAAATAATTTCGGGAGAACAGATACTGTGATCCTCAAATTATTTCTTCTACCCTTCTGAAAAGCAGTATATAATTAATTGAGTGAAGCATATTGTACTGACCTACCATACTATTTTTGATGGGTTAAAGGAAGGAATTTTAAGAGGGCAAAGAAGGAATTACAGATACTGTGAATGTAAATGATAGTCATAGAATGTAAAGAGAGAAAAATCATTAAAGGAAACTGATACGTTCATATCTGGTGCCAGAGGGGGTCTTCAAGGGGCAGGGCATATAACCAAAGGTTTAGAATCCGGGTTTCTTGTTTTTCTATTGCTATGCTTGTGAAAAGTTTTATTTCCCTTGTAAGGATAGATACTTCCATTCATATCTGAGGTAATTTGCTGATGTTAATTTAATTTGTTTTTTATCTTAATGAATGTCCTTAGGAGTTAGCCTGCACTGTTGGGGACCTATTCCCTAATATTGGCCCAAAGAAAAACTGATAGATCCTCTTTCTTAACAAACAGGGATCTTAATGTGACTTTAATTTTTCTCTACACTTAACCATATAACTTATATTGCAGAAATTGGAATGGGATTAACAGGATTTGGAGTGTTTTTCCTGTTCTTTGGAATGATTCTCTTTTTTGACAAAGCACTTCTGGCTATTGGAAATGTGAGTTTTTAAACATACATTTTAACTAAATTCATAAGGAAATTTAACTACAGTGAATCATTACCTGCTATTAAACTTGGGGAAATAATTCACTATTATTAATAATGTAAAAATTCCCATGACATTTGCTATTTCCATCAGGAATGAAACCTGTCAGCTTTCTGTTTAAATAAAAGGTATTCTCTTAATGAAGTTTTCTAAATCCAGAACTATTCTGTTAAGTGTTTGATACATGAGTTATGATAAATTAATTGAATAAAAACATTGTCATCAAATCAATTCTAACTCACAGATGACCCTAAAAGACAGAGTAGAACCTCCATATAGAGTTTCCAAGGCTGTAAATCTTTTACAACAGACTACCACCTCTTTCTTCCATAGAACCCCTGTTGGGTTCAAACTACCAACCTTTCTTTTAGCAGCCAGGAACTTAACTACTATGCCACTAGGGCTCCTTAGATTAACTGAAGGCTGCCTCTAAATAAGAGTCAAAAAAGAACAGTTGATAGCCATGTGGTTTGGTAAATTTGTTAAAATAGTTTAACTTTAAGTACCTGAGATTCCACATTTGATTCAACAACATAAACAGATTTTTAAAAACTTTTTAAACCTTTTAAAAATATATATGTATTTTGACTTGTTTAGAAAAGCATGTATATTATTTATTTAAAACATGTATTATACTTTTCATTTGTGGAGGTTGTTCCAGAGCGAGGAATAAATAATATCCCTTTTAAGAAGATGATACAAAGTCACTGAAAAATGATTAAATATCTTTTGAAGGATATATTCTTTTGATCTTTAAAATAGGAAAAGATAAAGACTAACAAAATTATTGTTCAAAATTGATGCTTTAATAATAGTATAAACAACATTGGTATCTGAATATGAAGCTTAACTTTGAGGCTTGGTGTATATTTATATGAAATATTTCCCATCAAAGAAAGGTAATGAATGAAAGAAAACATTTGGGAATAAAACATCCAGAAAAAAAACTTTTATAGGTCACAGTTTCTTATCCACTATCTGAAAACATACAAAATATATGTATATTTGAGAACACATGGCTGTATTATATATATTGTCACTAGATACTCTGGAATGATAAAAATATAATCTTCTTTCCTGGCCTTGCTTGGTTTCCTCTACTATCAACCTAGCCATGTCATTACCTCTCCCATCCAAGGAACCGTCCCTCTTTATGCCTTGCCACTCATCTGCTTGATTAAGCTGTCCCCATCCAGCTAGAACTGGGAAAACTACTAAAAATGCAGATGCCCTGTGGTAAAGCCTAATCTTTTCTTTGTTTCTCTTTTTCTCCATTAAATCAAGATAGAAGAAGAATGAGAAGAGTGGAACACAACTACACCTCTCACATGCTTAATCCATTCCTTGGCTGTGATTCTGGGTTGTGCATTATAGTTGCTCCCTGGCAATTTACCCAAATTAGAAGTGAAACAAATGTGCTGCTTCTTGTTATTATACTTGGCTTTGTTCCAGCTTTTCAAATGTATGTAGTATATTTAACTACTTTTTCTATGTTGCATTTTCTTTCTGTTCTAGGTTTTATTTGTGGCTGGCTTGGCTTTTGTAATTGGTTTAGAAAGAACATTCAGATTCTTCTTCCAAAAACACAAAATGAAAGCTACAGGATTTTTCCTGGGTGGTGTATTTGTAGTCCTTGTTGGTTGGCCTTTGATAGGCATGATCTTCGAAATTTATGGGTTCTTTCTTTTGTTCAGGTAAGGCAATCATTTTATGTTCTCTTTCAATAAACCAGAATATCAGATTATTATTACAAACCAAAACCAAATCCATTACCATCAAGTTGGTTCGACTCATAGTGATTCTCTAGGACAGAGTAGAATTGCCCCATAGGGTTTTCTAGGCTGTAAATCTCTGCAGAAGCAGGCTGCCTCATCCTGCAAAGCTGGTGGTGAGTTCAGACCACCAACCTCTTGGTTAGCAGCCCAGCACTTAGTCACTGTGCCACCAGGGCTCCTTTATTATTACAAAGACTTAGGTATTTGCACCAGTGTGGATAAGAAGACAACTATTTTCTTAAGTGGATTTTTGTTTAGATTGAATCTTTTATTACAGTTTATACCATTTGTTGTTGTTGTTATGTTATGGGTTGTTATGGGTCCGTCGAGTCGGACCCAACTCACAGCGACCCTTCCTTGGGTTTCCCAGACAGTATCACTATGGAAGTAAATTGCCCCATCTTCCGAGGAGTGGCTGGTGGGTTTGAACCGCCAGCCTTCTGGTTAGCAGTCAGGTGTCTTAGGCACTATGCTACCAGAGCTCCATTTATACCATTTAGTCAGTTATAAAAAAAATTTTATCAAATGCAGATGATTGCCTAAGTAAAGGCAAAAAGTGGTTGCAATGCAATAAATTTCATTTTGTTGGTATTTTTTGACACAGTTTTTAATTTAATACTTCTATCAACTAAAACAGTTATAGAAAGATAATACAGATGGGTAGATCCAGCATTTTAATGCATAGAACTTGATTCTTTAAACCAAACTCACTGCCATCAAGTCGATTCCAACTGATAGTGACCCCTCCTTGGGTTTCTGAGGCAGTATCTCTAGGGAAGGAGATTGCCCAGTCTTCCTTACGAGGTGGGTTCGAACCGCCAGCCTTCTGGTTAGCAATCAAATACCTTAGGCACTACGCCACCAGAGCTTTTATATATATATATATATATATATATACACACACACACACACACACACACACACCATCAAAGTAAGAGCTATTCTTCAATAAAATTTCTACTATTTACTCTTTCTCATGTATCTTCACTTCTTGCATATTCTTAATTTAATCTTACTGCTTAAATCTTGAATTCTATCCATTGTAGTATTTCATCACTATTTACTTTATTTTCAAGTCCCTGGGTGATGTAAAGCTAAGAGCTCACTAAAAAATTAGTGGTTTGAGTGTACCCAGAGGAGCCTCAGAAGAAAGGCTTGGTGATCTACTTCTGGAAAACGAGCCACTGCAATCCTGTGGTGTGCAGTTATGGGCTCCCTGGGCTCACCATGAGTCAGTCAGCTTTTATATACCTAATTTTGATTGAGAAGAAGTTTATTCTCTGTGCCTAAACAAATACTTTCTTACTCTTCCTATATAGAGGTGGCTTAACTAGTCCACAGTTATTTTAAACTGGTTAGAAGTTATGACTTCTGTGGGCTTGTATTTCAACCAAGAAATGAGACTTAATGAGATGTTAACAATACCCAACTTAAAGGCATTCAAGAGGATTAGAGGTTTAGTGTTACTGTTAGCACATAGTAATTTTTCAGTAAATGATAGTTACTAATGTTTTCATGGTCCTTTCCGTATGTTCTGTCCAGCCTTTTCTTTTGGTCCCTTTTCACCCCACACACATTAACCATCGTTGAGGAAATCATGAGCAATTGATATGAGACAGCTGATTAACCTGAACATACAACATAGCTTGACTTCATACTTTTCTTGAGTTTTTACCAATAACCAACATTTTCTAATAATGTTTATTGTATTTCATAATTCCAAGTTTAACACCTCTAAAACATTTCAGTATGTTAACAGGATCCTTTCTTCTTATTTGGTTAGCAGTTTATTTTGGTAACAGGAAATGTGTAAGTTTTCAGAACCTTTTTCCTTTTCCTTTCCAGGGGTTTCTTCCCTGTGGTGGTTGGCTTTATTAGAAGAGTGCCAGTCCTTGGATCCCTCTTGAATTTACCTGGAATTAGATCAGTAAGTAGTCATATATTTAGCATTATATTTTAAGCCATCAAAATAAATGCCTTTTGATGCTTTTTACTTACAGAAATATGAGTAATTGATAGTTGGTTAATTATTTTTTTGGCTATCATATAAATGTTTACATCACATAGATCATGGTTACCATGAATATTTAAAAAAAAAAAATCATCACTAAATGTAGAAAACCTGAAATTGTATTTCACTATATCCATTTTTAACATTGTTCTCTGTTTTAATTGTTATTCAGATTAATATGCTATGTTGCCTTCCTCTTTGAGGGTTCAAGACATTTTTCAGTGACTTTCATGTGATTTCCAATTTTAGGAACAGTAATTTAAAAAGGACACAATTTTTTTCTTGCAAATATTTTCTCTCTCAGACTGAATCACCAAATAGAGTGGATTAAGACAATGAAATACAAGATTATTTTTTCTGCAAATAAGATGATGTGATTCTGTTCCCAGCTCCATCCATGACTTCAACAATCTGGTTTCTCTAGGGTGGGCTTCAGTTTCTATCCTAATAAAGAATGTCAAATTAGATAATAAAGGCAAAAGAGAACGTTTTAAAAATAGACAAGTGAAGTTTCTTCCCTTCATTCATTATTCATTCAGCAAATGCTTGATACTAAACTACTTGTTTGGAGACTAACATCTCTAAAGGAGGTTCAGAAGGCCTTCCAGTTTCAGGTTACTTGCTGCTTTCTTAGAAAAACCTTTTCCTGATTCCCTGTGACTGGCTTAGGTCGCACTTCTGTAGCATATCCTGCATGCACCTCTGTCATAGCACTACCTCTATTTTAGTTGTCCAGTAAAAGGCTTACTGTGTGAAACATTATTATAGTCCTCGAGGGCAGAAACAGACTGTACTTCAGTCACTGTTCTATCCCAGTGCCCAGCATAATACCTAGCACATAATAGACCCTCAGGCCATTTTTGCTAAATGAATGAATGAAGGATGGCATTTCATTGACCTCAAGGATTCCAGCTGACTTTCTTTTAGCTTAACTTCTTAAATTTCGAAAGTAAACTAAATTCTTAAATTTCAGAAGTATCTGGGTAATCTGGAATTCAGCTGAGTTGGGGACAATATTTTTGGCTGTAGATCTGACCATTTCCTTCTTTGAAAAGTTCATAGTTCTACCTCTGTTCTGAACAACTAGGGTAAACTGACCTTAAAAACAAATTTAAAAGATCACAAGTTCTAGTTAGGTGTGTATCAACTTCCTAATGTTATTTACAGAGTTTTGTAGCTCTTAAGAGGTGAGTCATAACAGCACTTGAATTCTGGAAGAGCTACTGGACAGCTTACCTCTAGAAGAATAAGTACTACTATAAGCCTAATCCCATTTCCATCCTTAGGTCAATTTTAGAGTCAGAACCTTATAGCCAAGGTAACCTAGATATTTCACGTTATCCTTGGAGAGAAAAAATGTTATCCTTTTTCTCATCTTTTATTTACTTTAAAATTATAATGCATCTACAAACATTCAGAGCAACTTTGCAGTTTAGATATACCCAACCACCTATTAGTGATAATATAGAATGTTGGAACTTGGCCTGTAGGGGTATATCCTGATTTCATTTGCATTAACATCCAGTCCCAAACAGTTGTCAGTGTTGTTTATACTTAAAATGGCTTTTAAATTTCCTGAACGTTCTAGTTAGAAAGTTGTAATCGCTATTTATGACCTTAATTTAAAGATTCAGCAGTATTTGCATAAATGGCCACTCAATGCTATAGATCATATTCACTGTCGTTATGTAACTATAATAAATGCTTAAGTGAAAATGTGAATAGTGAAATAAACAGTTAAAATGATTGCCAGATTTTGATAGTAATATAACCACTTGGGTTACATAACTTTTAATATCTCCACTAATTCATACTGTTCAGTCTTTGAATTGTCTTCTGGAGTGATGAAGGAAGCCAGACTGCTTTATATTTGGAGTGGAATAATGAGTGTAAATAATCATTTAAATTAATGTGTGCTGAAATTAATAATAATTATAAATTTATGCTTGCATCCTTATATCTATTTTTAATGTTGTTGCCACTTTCAGTCTGAAGTCCAGAATACACATTTAAAGTATTTTTAGTCAATAGCTGTTGTTAATTATTGAACTTAATGGAGTTAAATCTGTTTGTTCAAAGACTACATAGGCCCAGAAGAGATCCACAGTAATGGTCAGTTGAAATATCTTATTGGGTTCATTAATGCATGAATGGCTGACATCTCAGCTTTTTTATTTATTTTTATTTTTTTCTTAAGCTAGCAGTTTTAACATCATTTATCCAGTTTATTTATTCATTGTGTTGCATTTGTCATGTTGCACCCTTAAATTTGTATGTATAACGTGTCATTCAAAAACAAATTTTAGAAAAAAAAATTTTTTTTTAACATTTACATGTCAGAAGATGGTGGTGAGTAGTACTGGATTAATCATTGTCAGTCATACCTTAAATTTCCACAAATCTTGTAAAGCTGCGTTTTTGTAATCAACATTTGAAATGTTGATACGATGTTGTGTAATACTGCAGGCTTTTTTCTAATTGTTTGTGTGGGTTTTTTTTTTTTCTTACAGTTTGTAGATAAAGTTGGAGAAAGCAACAATATGGTATAACAGCAAGTGAACTGAAGACTCATTTAAAATACCTTATTATTTATAAAATCCTTTGAAGAATATTCAGCACAAAATTAAATTACATGAAGTAGCTTGTAATGTCCTTTACAGAAGTTTGAAACACATAGCCTACAAAGGACCAACAGCAATTAGCAAAGAAACAAAACAAGTTTGTAATCAAGTGCTCTACGGAGTCAGCAAGCAAACTGAAGGAGATGAAGTCTATGTTACCATCTTTGTTGAAACTCTTGAAGGCTATTTTATTGTTTTTCCACAATGTGTGAAACAGCCATCCTTAGAGAACTGTGGTGCCTGTTCCTTTTCTTTTTATTTTGGAGGTGCAGGTGCACCCATTGGCATTGTTTTTAAGAAATGTCCACTGCAGTGGCAAAGATATTTCCAATTGCACTGTGTCTCAGAAGGTGATGCATGAGTTAGATTGGATTATGTCATTTTAATGTATTAAAAGCAAGGAAAAAAGTTTTGATATATGAATCACTTTGTTTTTTTTTTAACATGGTTAAAATAAAACTTTTAAGGTTCTTCTGAATCTTAATGTTTTAAAGCAGATGAAAATCTGAACTAGATATTCTTTATTGGAATATGCAGAGGTCATATTTTAGTTCCTATATTATAGCTGACCAAGCACTTTTTGGTTAGCAGCACACTCTGGAAATACTCCTACTCTTGGGAGTCTGACCTCCTGAGCATCTGCCTGTATTGTTCACTTCACAAACAGCACTCTTGACCATAAAGTAATCTGTTACATGGCTTGTCTCAGTGAATAGTCTTTTATTTATGGTACTAAATGATGCAGAGTAAATGTATTTTTCCATGTAACGATGTAGTTTTTCTCTTTTTTTCATTTTAGCAGTAGTTTATTTTTCATAAAATAACTTGTAGCGTTTACTTTAAAACACATAAGATGATAAAAGATTAAACTTATTTTTTAAGGGCTGTTCATCTAAGATGAGTTTTCCCTTCATTTTCAGCTTTTTCATAACATACAAATCAATATTCCTATTTGCCTTGTGAGTGCTCTTCATCTTGAATAATAGGGAAAATTTCCTAGTTCACGTGCTAAAGTTATTTTATTGTTATTAAACTGGCTGTAGTTTCTTAAAAACATGACACTAAAAAATAATGTGTCATCTTTTCTGCCATTGCTGCTTGATAGGTACTAGGAAACAGCAGCTGTTTATTCAGTAGTTTTTCATGGTGGTGGCTCTGGGATAGATCTAGGAACACATTTCAACAGCCACAGTACTATTTGTTTTATCACTAATGAATGCACTATTTCCTTTTTTTAACAGCTGTAAAACTTTTTAATGGCATAAGATCATGATCAATATTTGTGATTTTTATTTAAAAACGTGTCTACAGAATTACAGTTTATGTTATTCTTAAATTTAATCTTGATGCCCAGAGAACTCCCAATGCTCATCTAAAGAAGGAAAGACTTGGCATATAGTCTAACGGTTCAGTCTTGTGGATTACTGTCTTTTTGGTACTGACATTTGACTTGTGATATAATCTGTGAAAATGCAACTGTATTGACAAATGGAGACTCCTACCTCAATAGTTCATGGAATAATAAGAGACCTGGTGTAGTGTCTAATGTTCTTTGAAAAAAAGTAATATAGCATCTTCACTTGGAGAATGTCAAATACATATATACACACTTTGGGGATTGATTTTAATAAAGTTCCCTGTAGGACTCTAATACACATATTTTTGACTGGCCCATATTATTTAAGTGGCTAGATAATTCTAACTTTTTAAAGCAAGAACAGTATCTGTTGATGTAAGGAACACCTGTATTATTTAACTCCTTTATAGACATAAATTTCTATCAAAATGTTCTTTGCACTGTGACAGCCCTTTTCAGTAATCTTGCAAAGAGCATTGTCGGACAGTAGCATGGGAAGGATTGGATGATCTTCCAGTCCTTAGTAAGATTGAGAGGCTGGCGCAGTTTTCAGTTTTAAATGAGTCCACAGTTAATGCCAAATATGAGTTTGGGACTGTTCGGCAGCATTGAATATTTCTTTGTTAACACCATTGATGAGGCTCTATTTTGAAATGTACGAGTCTTTTGACAGAAAGCATTATACATCATGTATTATCTTTCCTTTCCAAAATTAGCCTTCTGTCTTTATGACAAAGATGTACTTCAATTAATTCCATACAGAGGAAGGAAAAGGTCTAATTAGCCTTAAGTGTTTCTGTCATTGTTCAAATGTATTTTTTGTAACAGAAACATTTGGAATGTTTTTTCTTTTCCCCTTATAAATTGTAATTCCTGGAATACTGCTGCTTTAAGAAGTCTCATGGTCAAGTTATATGATCTAACAATTGAATATTGTAAATACACTTGTCTTACCTCTTAATAAAAGGGTTCTTTTCTATTAATTGATGGTCAAGTGTATCTTTATTATGAAATTCTAAATTAATTGAGCATTGCAAAATAACCCACCTCATTTTTTAAAAGCTTTATATACAGTTTACTTCTTATAAAATAGTCATCATGTTTTTCACCTTTCATTTTCAAAATGTTCAAATGGGATTGTAAATATATTTCATATATACAAGAAAACTTTTAATTTTACAAACTATAAAAAGAGTAGGTCACCTTGGGCAATGTGCTTGCTGTTAAGGAACTCAGACCTAAGGTCTGGTAACCATCTAGTTATTGAACATAAATTTTCTGAGTTCTACTTGAGTATTAAAAGGCCTGTGCTGAGTTCAGAAGACCCAAGAGAATTAAGATGGCACTTGACCCATGAGCTTATAGCTTCAGCATTTCTTCTAAATTCTTAGCCTTATTCCCAAATAATTTAACTTGAATTGATTGTACTGCAAACATACTGGTAGAATAGTTTGTGGTCTAGAAATCCTAACTTCTCGCATTTGAGAGTTAGGACTATTCTGCTTTCAGCTATGTGGTGCTTAGCCATTTTCAGAAGGCATCTTTGGAGGACAAAAATGGTATCAGCTTTAACTCTGAAATTTTTGTCTCAAAATATGACTTTCTGACATAAAATTTTTTTTTTCAGTTATCATACTTGGAAAAAAAATTTTTAATGTGAGCCTAGAGATTGAGAACTGCCACGGCTGTTTGTGTATTCAAAAGCTGCTATAGATACACTGTTGATAAAGGAAATTGGAACAGTTTTCTGGAAGCTGCTATGATTGCCACCATTAATTGCAATTTTTTTTTAAGTGAGTTTAGAAATTTGTGGAGAAAATGTTTTTTTTTTCCCACAGAGTGAAAGGATATATATTTGTGACCTAAATGAAACCACATCTGTAGTTTTTTAATCATTAAGTTTTTGTAAAGCCAAAATGTTTGCCATTGAGTCGATTCTGACTCATAATAACACTAAATGACAAAGTAGAACTGCCTTATAGGGTTTCCTAGACTGTCATCTACAGGAGCAGATTGCTAGGTCTTTTCTTCCACAGCCACGGTGGGTTCAAACCTCCAACCTTTTGTTGCTTAACCATTGCACCACCAGAACTTACAGCCAAAATACTACTGGCTATCTCTACCGTTTAAGGCCCCTGGGAGGTAGAACATTGTCTGACTCACTTTGAACATGTCATCAGGGGAGATCAGTCTCTGGAGGAGGATGGAGGAGGACATGACACTAAGTGGTAGAAATTTGGGTTTAGTGAAATGTAGAGGGTCAACCAAGGAATGGAAGATCCTCAGTAAGATGGATTGGCACAATAGGATCAACAATGGATTCAGACGTGCCAGCGATTTTAAGAATGATAAGACCAAGTGATGTTTTGTTGTGCTGTATATTAGGTTGCTATGAGCCAGTGCTGACTGGGCAGAAGCTAACAACAACCCAATCTGTATTTGTAAAATCCAATAGTTAAACTGCAAGTCTTTTGAGTACTGTCAAATAAACTATAAGGCTTGAATGCTATTAAATATCCAGCATATGTTTCTAACCTTATCCTCTGGGATGAAAGCCTCTGCTCTTCTGCCACATGTCTGCATGCAAAAGGCTAGTCACAGAAATAGCACATGCAACCTCACATGCCCCAAATCCTTCATAGATGGACTAACACATTTTTCCATGACCTTTCATTTCTCAGCTCTCAAGGCCTAGTTAAAATAGCACCTTTATCACATCTTTCTTGACCTAGCAGGCCAAAACATCTGGTTCTTCTTTGCTTTCTCATAGAACTTCCCACTTGTATTTATTTGGATATGAGTCTGCTTTCCTCTAGAAAATAGATTCTTGAGGTTTAAGATCTGTTCTTACTTCTATCTGTATCTCCAGTATCTGGCACTTAGTCGATAATCTGAATGTTAATTGGGTAATGGAAGTTATGTTCCTCCAGCTATTCTGGCGCTGTCCCCACTGATCGATCACCTCTTGTGTTCAAGATAGTCTCATAGGACCACCAGGTTTTTATCAGCTGTAAAGTAGGAGAATTTGATCATCTGTTCTGGTCCCTGCTTAGCATTCGCTTTCTGCTTTAGCATTCCTTATGATCTGAGAAGCTTTGACATTGCTACATCCAGTAACTTGTCGACAGGAAAGGAATCATGGATAAAGGAAGACCATGCCCAGAAACTAATTGCCTTTCTTTACTGGGGGAAGGGGGGAGGTTTGCTAAGCAGACCCAGAACCAACTGCTAAAAGTCTTGAGATTCATGAATTACTAATTCTCAGTTGACCTTTCCAATATAGAATGAAACTTAGAAGAGTCTGATGTTTTTTTCTTTTTCAAATTTGTGGCTTTGTAATTAGAGATGTTAATATGAAGCAGAAGTATCCCAAGGAGAAAACTGACTGGAATTGATTCCCTAAGTGAATTTATCCCCTAAGAAAGCCAGAAATAATACCCTGCAGGATTGCCTGCAGAATGATCTCTTACTGTGTGAACAGTGCTAATAATAATGGGTGATTCCAACCTCTGAAGAAGAGGCTTCTGGTATGATGCTTGTGATCTTATGAGGCAGTTGTGTGTCCTGTGGCAGTATAAGCTTGGGTCTTGGTGATAAAACATAACTCTGCCAGTTGGTGTCCTGTTAAATTCTCTGAGTTTGCTCAGAAGTGAAACATGAATGTCTATTGCATAACATTTGGGGGAAGATTGAATTAAAGAATGGATACAAAAGGGCTTTGTCAAGTTTAAAGTGCTGTACAAATACTAGGTATTACTGTCTTGAGATTCCTGACCCAAGGACAGAGATTGGAAGTAGAACTACTGACTTCCTTGTCTTCCAACGGTTATGGTGATACCTGGCAACACCTAGCGTTCAACCTAATTCACAGAATTCTTACACCATTCTTCATATTTCTGAGCTACCAATATTTATAAGGCTCAGCATTTCCAAAAAGCTACTAGTATTTTGTTGTTTGCATCTTTATCTAAGCCTTTCTGCTAGAATGGCACACAAAATAAAGGATGTTACCCATAAGGTTGGTGCTCTACTTACAAACCATCAGAAGACCAACAGGCCAACAATTCCTCAAAAGTAAAGATGGGAACATAAGGGCAGGGAAATTACTGGAAAGGGAACAAACTG